AGTACCTAGGGACCGGAGCTTGGGACGGCCTCGCCGACGACCACTGGGAGGACTGGAAGACCACGGGGATGACCACGGGGACGCGGTACGGGGCGTGATGGATGACTCCGATGGAATTCCTCCAACAAAGCCGGATCCAACACATCCTCCGCCGGTACCCAACTCCTCTCCTCCGGTCCGAACCCCTTCCAGTCTACAAGGTACTGCAAGCCTCCTCCGCGCCGCCGAGAGTCCAAGAGCCGGCAAACAGCGTAGATGGGTGCACCCCCCACGATCACAGGTGGCAGGGAGCTGGCGTCAGGCGTGACCTCATCCAGCGGACCAGACACCACGGGCTTAAACAAAGACACATGGAAAGTATTACAAACACGATACTGAGCAGGTAAATCCAACTTGTAGGTAACATCATTAACTTTCTTTAAAATCTTGAAAGGACCTATATACTTGGGCAACAGTTTTTTACTTCCCTCAGAAACCTGAAAGTCTCTGGTCGAGAGCCATACTCTGTCTCCGATGGCATAAGTCCACGTCGCCGATCAGCGTGACGCTTCTGTCTCTGGAGTATGGCTTCAATCTGTTGGTGGGTCTCCTCCCAAACCCGTTCGCTGCGAGACATCCAGGCCTCCACAGCAGGGATATCTGAAGGATTAGCTGTCCATGGCATAAGAGGGAGTTGGTAACCATACATACACTGAAAAGGTGTGAGATTAGTAGTTGAACTGATGAGAGAATTTTGTGTGATCTCAGCCCATGGTAAGTATCTGTGCCAGTCATGCTGATTGTTATAACAATAAAGTCTCAGAAACTTGACTAGTTCTTGGTTTGCTCTCTCACATTGACCATTAGACTAGGGATGGTAACCAGAAGTTAGACTAACTGTGACCCCCAGTCTCTCCATGAATGCTCTCCACACCTGAGAAGTGAATTGAGCGCCTCTATCAGAAACAATGTCTTCAGGGATACCAAACAGGCGAAATACACGATTGAACACACATTCAGCGGTTTGTAAAGCATTAGGTAATTGGGTGAAAGGAACAAAACGTACACCTTTGGAAAATCTATCAACCACAGTCAGAATAACAGTGTATCCAACAGATACAGGCAAATCAGTGACAAAATCCAAAGCAATATGCGACCAGGGGCGAGAAGGTATGGGCAAAGGCATTGTGCATTGTGAACAAATAGAACAGGATGCTACAAACTGATGAATATCAGCGACCATACTTTCCCACCAGTATTTTGACGACAATAACTGGTGAGTACGAGTCTCCCCCGGATGCCCCGAGGTGAGTGAGGAATGAGCCCAGGTAATAAGACGGTCTCAAAATGGAGTAGACACAAACCTTTTATCACTGGGGCATGAGGGGGGCGGAGCATTGCGGTTATTGTACTCATCGATATCAGAATCTATTTCCCAACGGATAGGAGCGAGTATTATTTTGGGTTCTAAAACTGATTCTGGTGCACCAGATTCTGTAACCTCACTATCATAGATAAGAGATAAAGCATCTGCTTTCGTATTGCGTGAGCCTGGACGATAAGTGATTGTGAACTGGAACCTAGAGAAAAACAGTGACCACCGCGCCTGCCGTGAGTTTAAGTGTTTGACGGAGCGCAGGTATTCAAGGTTTTTATGGTCAGTTAGCACCAGGACCGGATGTTGAGCGCCCTCTAGCCAATGCCGCCATTCTTCAAAAGCCAATTTCATGGCCAATAATTCCCCGATCTCTATGAACCTGCGATAAAAGTTAGCGAAACCAAGAAATCTTTGCAGTTCTTTCACAGTGGTAGGTACAGGGCAGTCAACCACCGCAGCCACCTTCTTGTCGTCCATGAAGACACCCTCGGCGCTTATGACATAACTTAGGAAGGAAGTTTCTAACAGATGAAATTCACATTTTTCACCTTTAACATATAACTGATTCTCCAGCAGACCTGGCAAACCTGTTGGACATGGGTAGTGAAGTCAGGCGAATAGATCAAAATGTCATCAATATAGGCAATCACAAATTTTCCCAACATGTCTCTGATTACATCATTAATAAAAGATTGGAACACAGAGGGGGCGTTTCAGAGGCCGAACGGCATAACAAGGTACTCATAGTGCCCCCTAGTGGTGAGAAAAGCCGTCTTCCACTCATCACCCATTTTAATCCTAACCAGATTGTAGGCACTGCGTAAATCCAGTTTGGTAAAAATCTTGGCCCCCCGCAACTGCTCAAGGGCGACAGGTACTAAAGGAAGTGGATAAGGATAGGCTTTAGTGATGTTATTCAACCCTCTATAGTCAATACAAGGACGAAGCCCTCCATCCTTCTTTTGCACAAAGAAAAATCCTGCAGCTGCCGGGGATGTGGAGGGACGAATGAACCCTTGGTCCAGGGCTTCTTGTACATACTCCTCCATGGCTGCCTCTTCAGCTTGAGTAAGAGGATAGACACGAGACTTGGGGGTAATTGATTATCAATGAGTTCAATAGCACAGTCATAGTCTCTATGAGGTGGCAATTTCATGGCATTAACCTTGTTAAAAACCTCAGCGAGATCAACATATTCAGGTGGAATGTTAACTGGGGTGTCCACAACAGGACTCTCCACAGAAGTTGAATTTGCACTAATGGTGGGGATTTGCAAACAGTTCTCAAAACAATAGGAGGACCAAGACAAGATTTCTCTGTGGGACCAGGAGCTATTAGGATCGTGTGTTTTCAACCAGGAGAGACCTAAAATCACAGCATAGTCAGTAGTATCGACCACAAAAAAACAAATGTCCTCAGCATGGAGAGCACTAATGTTCATTTTAACAGGTCGTGTTTTGTGAGTCACACTTCCTGGTCCGATAGGTCCACCATCCACAGCCGAAAGACGTAACGGTGTTGTCAGTGTCCATCTCTATTCCCAGCTTGTTCATCAGATCTGCTTGGATGAAACTGCCTTGGGCCCCTGAGTTGATTAAGGCTGAAACGACAATAGAAGAATCGCGACAGAACAAGGTAACAGGAATCAAAAAGGATTTACTAATCATGGTAAGTTTATGACCACTCACTGCATTAGCATGCTGGGACTGGCGCCTGAGGTCTGTTCAGACGGTGGCGACAATCACGTAGCACATGACCCGCTTCTCCGCAAGCACAGACCCCCAGAAAGCCTGCGTAAGCGTTCCTCCTTGGACAGACGGGAGGTGTCCACCTGCATAGGCTCAGCAACTGGGACATCGCGTTTCACAGGTTTGGGTGATGGGCCAGTTCGTTGAGCGGTATGAAGTGAGGTGAGACGATGTACTTTGGGTTTTGAACTCTGCTTTAACTGATCCAAACGAATAGCAAGAGCAATGAGATCATCCAATGACAGTCCATCATCCTTACAGGCCAGTTCAGTCAAAATCTCAGAATTAAGTCCATTTCGGAATGTCACAATCAGCGCTGGCTCATTCCAGCCACTTCCGGCTGCTAATGTTCTAAATTCTACAGAATAATCCGCTACAGATCGTGCACCCTGGCGAATGTGTGATAACAATTCACCTTGAGAACGACCCTCATGACGGTGATCAAAAACAGCCCTAAAGCTCTTTAAAAATTCTGCATAAGTGCTCTGTTCAATGGATGGCCATACTGCTGTAGCCCAATCTAGGGCTTTACCAGTAAGTCTGGAAATCAGAAATGCAATACACCTGCTGTCAGAACTAGCTGGGGAATTAGAAAAATATAACGAGCACTACAACAGAAATCCCTTGCACAATTTAGGACTCCCGTCATATTTATCCGGTTTGCTTACCGAGAAATGTTCATCACGGTTGGGAGCCGGTGCAGGTGCTGTGCATTTCCTACAGGAGTTGAGGGAGTCAAGGGTTTAACAACTAACTGACTCAACTGGGCAGACAGAGATTTGATGTCAGAAGCAATTTGTAGAAGCTGATTGTGTTGTTCCAGTTGTTGATGAGTGAGTGTCCCCACAGTCCCAGACAGTGAATCAAAAAGCTGGTTATGTTGTGCCAACAACTGACCTTGATTGGTGACAGTACCGTGGAGCTCTCTCAGATCCGCCATCTTGGTTGTGGCAAGGTATTCTGTAACACTGCACAAGCACAAGAAGACACTCACGGATCTTAAAAACAAAAGGCTGTTTAATGAGAGAGGTAAAGATGGAAAGGCAGTTTCAGGGCAAATCCAAAATCAAGATCCAAAAACCAGGCAAGAGTCAAAAACCAGAAAAGACAAAAAACATACAGGCAACCAGATCAGAAGGGCAAATACAAAAAGCAAAATCCACAAAACAGGCAAAGAGTTCAAAACACAAGTCAAAAGATCAGAATAACAATGCTCAGTAAACCAGGGAAATGGCAATACCTCGCAATGAGGGGAGCAAACCAAAGACTATTTAAAGTCTGAAACAAACAGACACAGGTGAATCGCATTAAAACTCAGGTGACTGAGAACGAGGCAGTTGCACGTGATTGGAGGAATTGGTGACATCATAGGGACTGGAATTATGGGAAATGGAGTCCTGGAGCGTGCTAGGCAAGGAAGGAGAACCCGGAAGGGTGACAGCCATCACTACTTTTTCAATGTATTCTGCCCAACGCTGTGAAAATATGAACGTGTTCAAATGAAGTGATTACAAATATCTAAACAAAAAAGCATTTTTAAAAAAGAGGCAACATCAGTAGCTTTCAGTCGAATGGACATCAGATACACATGTAAGTTAACTAGTTTCAATTCTGCAGATAATCCAGACTTTTTATGATGATGGAACAATGGATTTTTTAATGCTATGATATGAACTGATCAAGCTGCCGCTTTGTTGATTTCCGGGCCTCATTATTCTGTTTTTCTCAGCCCTGATTGGCTGAAGCATTTCACAAATTAAATAGGGAATTAATGTAAATGTAGGTGCCAGTTTACAATGTGTTAAACTGGTCATTGTGTTTCATAATCTGGGGGAACCTTTTCAGCATCAGGTGAGTTAAAAGATTTCTGCAATCAAAAAGCTGTTAACCACAAATCAGCAAAACATTTTTATTCATATTTTTCAGTACAGTCATTCACAAATAAATTATCGAAAATGTTGCAATACAGACACCTGATTTCCTTGACAGAAAGTGTTTTAAGCATGAATAAACTTTGTGATTAATAAAAGGAAAGTTTCAGTCTTAATCAGAAGAGATGTGTAATTCTCAAAGTGTTTATATATGTACCAGAAAAGAAAAGTAAAAAAAAATTAAATCTTGTATATCTTGACAGTATAAATGAAATGGTATATGAATAACCAAACTAAAAGTTTCTTAGCCACTTGTTTCTTTGTTTACAGAACTAGCTCACACATATGCGTATGGTCTGGTCTACACACTAATTAATTATTATATAGCACCACTTCAGGCATGTGGTGGTCACGCTCTCTACACTTTAGCCAAGATGCAACAAAGTCTTAATTACATGAATGCAAATATAGTTTCACATTTTATGAAAAACCTGAATTTTTTGAAGTGCTCATCTGAGCCACACACATGCTAATGCTAACACCACCATGCCTCAGTTATTACTTTAAACTCCACAGTTATTACGACGCTCCAGAATTAAATGTCTCTGTTAAACAAATATCAACAGCTGCATTAAAAGCCAATGTTGCTGTGAGATCATTTTTTTCTCCTTAAAGCAACTCTTGACTATAAAATTCAAAACCGTCCAAAGTAGTCAGAGGAGCTGAAGGCTCAGGCACGGGCGCGAAGGGCAGGAAATGTGGGGTGGATATTAATCCAGTGGTATTTGGCAGTTTCTGGGATTATGGAATTTTGAAGACTAGGACATTTTAGGAATAAGGCATTTTAGGCATTAGAATATTTTTGACATTATGGTATTTCGCAGATTAGGGCATTTTGGAATTACAGCATTTTATGGATTAGGGCATTTTGGGATCAGGGCATTTTGTGGATTAGTGTGCATTGTGGATGAATATGTTTTGTAAATTAGGTCATTCTGGAGATTACAGTGTAGATTAGGATATTTTGTAGATTAGAGCAGGATTAGGATATTTTTGCATTATAGTATTTTGGGCATTGTGCATTTTAAGGAATGAGCCATTTTGTGGATTAGGGTATTTTGGGGATGCAGATGTTGCATATTAAGGTATTTTTAGAAATAGGATATTTTGTGGATTAAAGCAGTCTGAGATTAGGGCAATTTGGGATTAGGGCATCTTGGAATTAGGGCATGTTGTGGATTAGGGAATTTCATCATTAGGGTGTTTTGGGATTAGGGCATTTTGAGAATAAAACAGTTTGTGACTAGAGCACTTTGGGATTAAAGCAGTTTGGGATTAGGGCATTTTGTGATTAGGGCAGAGGGGACACACTGAGTCTGTGGTGAGATCTGGGGCTGGAGGGCTCAGGCGTTGAGGCGGGTGAGACTTCCAAGACGTCTTCTCTGAATAAAGGGGAGGACGGACTCTCTGGAGACTCCGGGGGTTCAGAGCGATCAGATCTGGCCTGGATTATCTCCTCTGGGGTCTTCAGAAACCTACCAGAGAGAAAGAGACAGAGAGAGAGAGAGATAGAAAGAGAGAGAGAGAGAGAGAGAGAGAGAGAGAGAATCGAACATTTGATTCAGTGATTCACTGATTCACATTCATTTATTCATTTGATTCATCTGAGTGATTCTCTTTTTTCTCCTCTAGATAAAGAGGCTGCATGTTATTTTCTATAGAAAGAACATATAAACGTATTCAAAGAGGTCATTCTTAATGGCTACAAAGTGGTGTTTTGTGATTTTTATTACATGGACATAAACATTGCGCAGATGCTACGAAAAAAGTTTTAGTTGTACTTTAGACCGATGACCCAAAAGTAACTGATTCAAATGACGTAGTAGTGAATGAGTGTAATAGGGCTGCTCTGACTTAGAGAATCGGGTTTCGGTTGGTCCCCCACCTGAAGAGCAGTCTCTGTCCGGACTCTTTTTTGATGATGTTGAGTTTGTAGTAGTGACGCAGCGCTCGTGACATTTTCTCATACGTCATATTGGCTCTGTTCTGAAAAGCAGAGGAGGAACGTTATTGAAATGATGAAAGAATCAGACAATAAATCATGAACCGCCCCACCTCTGTGCCCCCCCCCCACTGACCTTATGGTTCCCCCACAGCCGTGCCAGTCCGTTAGGATCCACCACTCTGAACACCATGGAGTCTGGATCCTCCCAGCGGATGTAGGACTCGTACCGGCGGTCCAGCAGCAGGTGGTACACATAGTCCCACAGCAGCCTGCAGTCTAGAGAGAATAAACACACGGTTACTCAGAAGAACCCACAAATTTAACACGTAAAAAAGACAGCACAGGTGCTGTCACCAGGCTTACTGAATTTGTGTTGCCAGGTCTACTGTACTGCTCATGGGAGGTGCGCACCCTCTGGAAAAGGGAGTTTTTATTGTTGTTAATGTGGTGTTCTGTTAGTTTAAAATGTGTGTACATGTTATCTGTGTAACTGTGTGTTGGGCAGTTTGCTTAGGTAGGCTGAAAGTTTGCGTAGGTGGGCTGAAAGTTTACTGTGAAGCAGAGATGTACGACTGGTGATGAACTCCTCACTATTCGTGCTGTTATTATTTGCCTTTGTGCCTAGGTCAGCACTTTCACACAGGCTGCACATGCAAAGTGAAAGAGTCCCAGACTTTGCACTGAAGCGCTGCGGTGTTTATAGAATAGACCAGAAGCTGTTTTTTTCCATGCGCTGCGTACATTGCGTGGCAAAATACACTGAAATAAGCCATGAAAATCAATAAAAATTAAACAAAAGACTGTATACAAACTTAAAACACAATTTTTAAATTCAATTTAATTCATTATGAAGTGCTAGGTAAGGGGGGGTTGCATTAGCAAGTTAAATGTCTCTTACAGCCCACCAAATGTTCAGAAACAGCCCTGAAACCACAATATAACCATCTCTACATCTGTTCTCTAGCTGTAGATATAATACTACCCTCTAATAATAATAATAATAATAATAATAATAACCTCTACAAATCATTCACATACAGACAAATCATAGACGTAAAAGGCCAATATTTGAGAATTTTTTACAATCAAATCATTAGACTGTTTCCTTAGCGAGCAGCAGCAGTAATATGACAGACACTGTGTTGTCTTTATAATAACCAAGACTCCTTCATGTTCACACTAGAGAACTGACACGAGCAAATTCAGCATTTAGCCTTTTGGAGCTTTGAGATGAAGCATCATCATTGTTGTACCTGCAATCTTTCCATCAGCCTCAGAGGTTTCTGTGGAGTTCCTGGTCGCTTCTGGTCTGTTGGACAAGTTCAGCGGCTCGTCTTTACTGCTGAGGAGCGAGGGCCGGATGAGGGCTGGAGGGCTCACCTCTTCAGAACCAAACAAAGAAGAACCAAGAGTTTCAATTGTGCTTGGGGTAACATTTTGACTTTAGTGTACAAGAATCAAACTCTAACATTGTTTCAAAATGACTAATGAGCATTTGAGATACTTTGATAAAAATAATTACGCAGTTCTGTTTATCCAGTATTGGCAGCAAAAACTTAAACAGTTGCCACTTCTGTGCACTAGGTGTCAGTGTTTCCCCTTTGCTTTCTAGACTGAGAGGGGTAAGAAGTGTAGCTGTTTCAAATACCACTTTTTTGCTTTAAAGAAACAAATGGCTTTTATTTCTACAAGTTTCAAAGTATCCCAAACCTAATTCAAATACTACTCCTAATACTATGCTAATTTGAAGACATTACCCTGCTAGTAAAACCAGCGTAGACTAGCTTGGCTGGTCACTAGAAAAACTAGCATATGTTGTGTTTTGTTGCTGGTATGCGGGTGAACCAGCATGACTATGCTGGGGTGACCAGCTACACTAAAACCAGACCATCATGAAATTCTTGCTGGTCTGTGCTGTGTTTTTCAGCAGGGTTGGAAATTATACCTCAATAAATGCAGTTAATAGTAACAGATAATTACTGATATTAAATCAAATGGAAATCTAAACTGTGTCCTCCAATAAAAATTGCAGTCACTGTTATGCAGATGTATTTCTGGTAGCCCTGTTTGGTTGCTGACCTGAGTGTGTGTGCAGTGTGAGACTGGAGTGTTCTCTGGTTTCCAGGTTGTGGTCAGTATCCGGCACAACTGAAGTTCGAGCATTCGGATTCACTGGACAGATGGGGACGGATCTGTTAGCAGCAACACAGGGACCTGCAACAATCAGATAAGCTCAGACAGCTCAGAGGAACGTTCAGTAATGAGGGTGGTAAAGGTTCTGCAGAGAGCCATTAGCATTAGCATTAGCTCTGTTCATTTCAGTGGGATTAGCTCAGTGTGGCATGGACCATCATGGGGGCTTCCTTCTGGCACCAAAATCTGAACTAACTAAACTAACTAAAATCCGACACAAGTTGTAGGTATAATGACTGACCACATTATCAGCCTTAATACACTCACAAAAATGAAATGTTGAACTTACTCAAAAATATTATGTCAAAAGCTTCCACAAAACTGTGATAACACCTTCATTCTGTTGTCATCACCTACATGGATGAAGGTGTACCTGTACCTGTACTTAACATTGATTGATTTGTAGAAGAGTGAGCATCTGACTTCAGTTTTTACGGCAAGCCGTTTTAGCTTTAATTCTACTTTTCTTGATATTAGGAATTCAATTCACGTGTGAACATTGAATTTATACTAGTAAAAATTGAATTCTTGATATCAATTTTTTTCACCAGTACAAATTGATAGTAACAATTTAATTTGTACTAGTAAAAATGTGTTTTTTGAGATCAAGAATCCAATTTTTACTAGTAAAAATTACATTTTTGATGTCATGAAATTAATTTCTGCTAGTAAAAATTTTTCTAGTAAAATTGTATTTTCTACTAGTAAAAATGACATTTTTGATATCAACAATTGAATTCTGCTGCTGTAGAGTTACAACTCTCACTCACAGCCAAAGTGGCTCAGCAGTTCACTGTGGAGCTTAAGAAAGATGCACACCAAAGGAAAAGTAGGGCAGCAGAAAAGACAACATGAAGAGGATGAATAGATAGCAGGAGCCAACAGGAAAGATGCTGAGTTTTACTCACCAAAATTACACTGACCAAAAAAACACTTATGAAATAACTTACTGAAGTTCACTGAAAGAACACAACTGAACAGTCACATAAAAGTGAAGTGTCTAAACACACATAGCATCACAAAGCACTAAAAAGGGTTCTGCTATTGTTATGATGTCAGTCTTGTAAACAATAGAAGAACCCTTTTTGGTGCTTAATAAAACCCTTTTTCATAACACTTTACTTGGAGTGGTCCTTTGCAGATGATTAATAAACTCTTAACAGATTATCAGTAACACATTAACAACATATCAATGAAGTAGCAGTAGTGCAGCATCTGAATACACTGTAGTAAATATCTTGTAGATATCTTGTAGATACATTACTTACGTTAAGTAGAAGTATTGTTAATACATTACTTCCATTATGCAAAACCTAATCTTACCCAACCTTACCAAAACCTAACCCTAACCCTGGCCATAATCCTAACCCTAACCTTGACCTCAACCCAAAAACTAATCCAAACCCTCACCCTGGCCCTAATCTTAACCCCAACCTTAACCTCAACGCAAAACCTAATCCTAACCCTCGTATGTTTTTGACATGTTACTGAGAGTCCGTTGAGTGTGTGTTTCATTTAAAAGGACCACTCAAAATAAAGTGTCACCCCCTGTTCAAACTGGTTCTATGTAGAACCATATGTGACAGATTCTCCATTAACTACCATGCAAAGAAAATTTAATTATGCAAAGGGTTCTTTGAGTCTTCATGGTTCTATATCGATCCATTGTCTTCACAAAAAAACTTTGAAGAACCATCTTTAAAGTCCTGTTACTGCTGTAAGTGAAAGCAAAGTTTATAAAAAAAACCTTAAATCTGTGTAATTTATCTAAATTTGAGGCATATGATTTCAGTATGTTGGCAAATAATTTGCCTTGTTGTGTTCTGCCAGTTAGAAATCATTTCACCCAATAAAATAATTTTAAACACGCAAACAGCATCTACAAATGAGAACAATAACCTCATAATATTAGCACAGCCATCTAAAAATGAGAGATTTAGATTAGATTTAAGATGATTTCTCTTGTTAAGATGTCATTTTTTGCAGTGTGGGGTGTGAAGAGAACACTGATTGGCTGATGGCTTTGTTTTTAGCTTTAACAGCCTGTTACTTTGAGCTCCTGCATGAGTGATAAGAGTCAAAAACAATATGCAGTTTTTTAAAGTGTCATTAAAACAAACTGTAACTGGAAAAAGAAGTAGTGTAAGAAACCAGAGACAAGGACACTGAAAAATCACTTGTAAAAAAAACAGATAATGTCACAAAAAGAAGGTCATTTTGAACGGAAGTCTATAGAGAAACATACTTTGTTACTGCAGGCAGGAATTCTACTATTTGGCCACGAGGAGGAGCCGGGTACATAAGACCATATTTCATTTAGTTTCATTTTATTTTAACGCAATTCTATTATTGTTTTTATTCATTTATTTTTATTACTCTTTATGATCCTTTTACTTGACTGTGTTAAATTTTAGTTTGCTTATTTATCCTTTTATGTTGAAAACGTATTCATTGGTTTATTATCTTGGTTTTATTTTAGATTTCTCCTTCTTAATCAAATCTTAATTGTTCTCTTTATTCTTATGCCATTTATCTTCTCTTTTTCAGTTCATTTGTTTATGTTGGTTTAATCTAATTAAATTCCATTTTAATTTCTTTTTCAATCCTTTTAATGTTGTAAATCACTGCTGTCAGAAGAAAACCTTGTATCTCCATTTTTGATGTTTTTCACCTTTTGACAGAATTTGTTGCCCTTTACATTGTATGTAAATTTTATGATGAATGGACTAAAAGAAATGACCCAAAATGACTTGGAAAAAAGTCTGTTTCCATTGACTTACATTTAAAGTAAAGTAGAGTTTTTCCTTCTCCTGTAAAGTTATCATTTTGGAGCTACAAACTTTTTTTTTCCGACAACAGCGAAATGCTCAGCTGTACTGAATGAGGATCACTTTTAATGTATTTCTGAGTGAAAATAAGTTGATTGATAATTCAGCTTTCATTATCCATGTAAATATGCATATATAATGTTTTTTTAAGAAACAGCTCAGATGAAGTGCTCTGGACTGGAGAGACTTGCTAACACTTCCTAAGAACACTGTATTAATGCATTTATAATATGCTATATGGTGTACAACGCAGCTGATTTTCTAGCACTACTTACTCTTGCCGTAATCCTGCACAAGTAAGTAGTTACAAGTAGTTATTTTAATAGGCATAACAAATGGAGAGTGTATGACCTTCTACATTCAGGTTTCATAACACATTATAACCTCATAAGAACCAAAGGCCTCTGGTTCAGTTGCAGTAAATACGGTTCAATGTTTAACAAAGCGCTTTTTTTTTTTTTCAGAGAACACAGAAAGGTGAGTTTCTACTGGACGTGTCGGGGAAGCACCTGGACCTGAGAGTGAAAGGCTGCATTCAACACTCATTTACCAGGAGCAGATAAACCACACCTACTGGCAACGACTCAACACCAAACCAACCAGCAGGTCACAGTGAAGAGCGTTTAGACACCAAACTGCAGAAGTTTCTCAACAGAAAGTTCACAAAACAGCCGAATGTGAAAAGTATTTTGAAAGGTGAATCGACACTCTGCCATGCAGTGACCCTGGCTTTATAGGTGCCCACTGTTTCCTTTCAGCTCCTTTGAAGGAAGATTACGTTAATAACCGCAGCGCAGAAGGAAGAGTTTTATTTCCTTTCTCTCTTAGGCACGGTGAGATCATTACCTGCCCATACATGCCTCAAACTTGCTGTTCATCAAAATTCTGGCATCTGTACAACTAGGAAGCTTTCAATAAACCAGCAGACAAGGAAATAAATGAGATTCGACTGTACTGAAAATCCTCACAGCATCTAACCTCACTCTGCATCCTTTAACTATTGGACAAGTCAAATATCCATCCATCCATCATCTAAACCGCTTATCCTTCTGGGTCGCGGTGACAAGTCAAATATATCATATATATATTTCTGCAGTGTATGAAAATGGCCAAAAAATGTATTTGTTAAATATATTTTAAAAAGCATTTATTTATATTGGTTATTATATTTGTTCAGTTGTGTGTAGTTGTTACAAATGCTACAGATGTAACTAAACGGTACTGACTTCTGTTACGCTGCAATAACATGTGGCTCAAATGCGTCTCAGTTCACCTCCTGAAGTGGTCTGAGTGATCAGATTTTTATCTGTCTTAAATTCATCTTTGGTGCGTTAACACTTGCATGTTTATGTGTCTTGGCCTCATCCAGATATAATCCTGATACTCAAAACGCATGAAGTGACCAGGCGTAAACAGGGTCTATGTGTAGATCAGGAAGAACTGAGAAAGAGTCTGACGGCTGAGAGACGTCGTGAGGCTAGAGCGAACTGTTAGAAAAGATGTATACATACAGAAGAACAGATATAAAGGCAAATGCAAATGAAAAGCCATTATTATACCAAAAACATCACTGCCAAAAGCACAAGGGCGCAGGCTGTTACTGAAACCACAATAGCAACAAAATGAAGTGCAATATAAACAGCCTCAGCTTGGCTAGGGCTGGACCTGAATCTTAGACTACTTGGAACTGCAGAACACTATACTGTTCAGGATTCTCGGGAGAAACTCAGATGACTCATGGTTTCGGTCCATAACACAGATTTATGTGCTTTCAACTTGAGTATTGGACACAGATTCTCTTTAGACTTTCACTGTATGCCCCCCCCGCATAACACATCTACATGCAAAGTGCATCCGCTACACCACGAATACCTGTAACTGAGTAAAAAGAGCACACCTGTGGTTCCAGTCTCACCTGCAGCGCTGACCGAGGTGTGTATGTGCTGGCTGAGGGGGGGTGCTGAGGACGTGCAGGCCAGACTGCGTCTCTGCTGCTTCACATGCTGTAGGAGCTCATAGAGGACATCTCCTAAACATCAAACATGACATCAGTACACAGATCCAGGTCATCTGTAAGCTACACTCTCCAAACATATCCCTACTTTCAGATATTACTGCTGAAAAAACAACAACAGAGAAACCATTAAGTGTGTCTGTTGGTTTCTGATGATTTCAAAATTACAGTCTGAGAAAAAATTACAAATTTACAAAATTATACAGCTTATATGTCTGAGAAAGGCTTCTGCTGACTGAATCATGACTCACACTGTTATCTGTAAACATGGACTACAGTACCTACAAAATGCTACTACTGTGTTTAGCTATGCTAACATACTTCAGTCCATGTTTATAGATTACAGTGAGTCAGAAAACATAATCAAATCTATTAGAGATACTGAACACCTCCACACGCTTTGAGATGAGTGTAGTTACAGTTAGCATGCTAACTGGTGGGGTATAAGTTTCTATTACTCATAGCTCCAGTGCTAAAAGTAAAGAAGCAAACTTCAGACACTGAATATGTTTGGATGATTGAATACATTTGGGAAAAATTGGGAAAATCTGTTTTTTGGCTGAACTATCAGTTTAAATGGTGTTTATTTGTGTGTAATGTTGAACCTGAGCCCGGACAGCGGAGTCTGAAGTCCTCTTTGGTCAGCAGACACAGCGCTTTACCATTCATCTCAAACTTTTCATGATCAGCACGGCGTAAGGAGAACTCCCTCTGAGCCCAGCGCAGCCACAGATTAACATCATCCTTATCCCACAGAGATGGGTTAATACCTACAAAACAACACCAGCACAGGCAAAGTCAAATATAAAACTGCAGTAGATAACAAATCTAACAAATACATACACCCTGTCTGTCTGAAAGTTTATAGACACCTGCTGATCCAACGTTTCTTCTAAAATCAAGGGTATTAATCCTCTGAGGTCATTCTCTCGATTTGTGCATATCCTTTTAAATTCTCCTTTAAAGGCTTTTCATAGAACATGACACTCATATGTTTCATATCAAAATGCTCCGTTATCTTCATCACTACTTTCCAAAACTGCAACTTTAGCAACTGTAAACTGCACACCACTTCACATGTGTCTCCGATGTGGACTGAATGAAGAATGAAGGGTTTTTGACATGATGGGTCAGTCCTTAGTGATTTCCAGAGTGTCCGTTGGTCAGTTTCACACAGAATGTAGACGGACACACGAATCCACCAGTTCCACATGGTGAGAGGCAGATGACGTCTGTCTCAGCCCCTCTTCATAGCCTCATAACTCCGTATGTGAGTCACGTACAATCTCGTGATAAAATGGAATTGAAAGGGCGACTCTACAGATTCAGGAAATATTTGTACTGTATTTCTGTGCTGGATTATCACAAAAAGAGAAACAGATATAGAAACAGAGAATTTGATGCACAGATGAGTTTGTAGATCCCAGAGGATTAATAGGGAGTTTGTTTCACCTTTGCTGCAGTCTTTTCACTTTGTACTTATAAAGATGAACAAAAAAGTATGTATTTATAAGCACAAACAAAGACGAGTTTAAAAACAGCAAAGTAAAGAAGTCACAAATTAATGACATTAGTACTTTGTTACAAAGCCATTGGCAATTACAGCTTTAAACATCTGTAATTTGCTTTTTGCAGTGCTGTGGTTCAGTTTTGGTCTGTTCTTTATGGCAAACCTTCAAATCTTCAGTTCCCCTGAAGGTTGTGAGGGTCTGATTGTGATTTGTCTATAAACTGTTCATAAATTTTCAGTGAGATTAAAGTCGGAAGACTGGCTAGACCGTGCAGCACCTTCACCTTCTTTAGAAACTAGAGTTGAGTTATTCTGGCTGCATGACTGAGGTCGTAGTCTTGTTGAAATGTCCATCTTCTCCCCAGATTCATTTTCCTGGCTGATAAGATTAAATTCTTCTCTAATATCTCCCGCTACATTCATGTTTCCTTTGATGGCGTGTGATCTTACAGTGTTTACAGAGAAGCAGCTCTAGATCATGTTGCTCCTACCACCATACTTCACTGGGGGAGCTTTCAGGCTTTGTTCCTTCTGATCAGAGAACATTGTTCCAGAAGAGTTCAGATTTGTCTCAGTGCTTGTTTGCAAACTTTGGATGATCATCTCTTAGCTTGTTTTTTAGCAAAGTAGTTTAGCAGGATATAATTCCTGTGCTTATTGTTCTCGGTGTGGCTTTTCTGCTGCTTTCAGGTCCTGCAGCTCTTTTCTATTGATTGCTGAAATTTGATCTGTTTGGGGACAATCAGTTGTGGTTCCATGAATTTTCCACTTGCATATTATCTAACCAGTTGTATGGACAGAGATGTTTAAGATCTTTGCTAAGATTCTGTACCTTTTACATTCGAGTGCTGTTAAATAATGTTTCTTCAGAGAACTTAGGAAGAGCCTTCATCTTCACCGTGACTGCAAATGGCAACCAATGGCAGGGTCTTTTGTGATGACTCCAGGTGCAATTTGAATGAGAACATTTATATTTTTTTATACACACAAAAATGTCTGAATACTTTTTTTCTCATTGTATATTAAGTTTCTCAGCAGCTTTAGTGTGCCTCCACACTAGAAGCTGATGTTGCCTCCAAAAGATGCAGCTCATTCAGTGTATTTCAGTCCAGATGCTGCCGGCATAGAAACCAAAATTGAAAATGTTCAAACCATTTCAGCTTTTGCTGCAACAGTTGTTGACAGTGGAACCACCATGATTCCTGCTTGAATTTGGACAATGCAAACCCCATCCCTGCCCCACATTGCATAGATGGATGAGATCTGCATGTATTTTCATCTGCTGTCTTGCTTTGTCTGGTGTGTAAGAACTTTAGTCTTCTCCTGCAGCACTGCTGATAATGCCATTACAGTGAAATCACTGTAACGCACAGCTCAATGGATTACCGCTTTATGAGACACTAACAATATACAATTTGATAAAATACACAAATAGATAATTTGATGTTAATAAGTAGTCCTCTTAATTATACTCAATGATATATTAGTTAAATCACGTACGTAATCTTCCTGGGAGTTTACAGAGCTCATCTGGAGGTTCAGGGTAGACGGAGGGCAGGGGGGCCGGAGCTGCTGAACACACAGGGGTCCGAACTTCACTGGAGTCCTGCACACACACACGCACACACACACACACACACACAAACACACGCACACACACACACACACGCACACATCATAAAATTAAATTCATGAATATAATCACATTAACCCCTTAAACTCTAAATGTTTGTATGTGAGTCCACATAGCTCTCGGTCATAATAGATACTGAATAGTTCACAGTAGATACTGAATAGTTCATAGTAGCTACTGAATAATTCATAGTGGATACTGAATAAGTCATAGTCGTCACTGAATAATTCATAGTGGATACTGAATAATTCATAGTAGTTACTGAATAAGTCATAGTCGTCACTGAATAATTCATAGTGGATACTGAATAATTCATAGTAGTTACTGAGTAATTCATAGTAGTCACTGAATAATTCATAGTGGATACTGAATAATTCATAGTAGTTACTGAATGATTCATAGCAGATACTGAATGATTCAAAGTAGATACTGAATGATTCACAGTAGATGCTGAATGATTCATAGTGGACACTGAATGATTCATAGCGGACCCTGAATAGTTCATAGTAGATACTGAATAATTCATAGCAGTCACTGAATAATTCATAGCAGATACTGAATAATTCATAGTAGTCACTGAATAATTCATAGTGGATACTGAATGATTCATAGTATTCACTGAATAATTCATAGTGGATACTGAATGATTCATAGTAGATACTGAATAATTCATAGTAGTCACTGAATAATTCATAGTGGATACTGAATGATTCATAGTAGATACTGAATAATTCATAGTAGTCACTGAATAATTCATAGTGGATACTGAATAATTCATAGTATTCACTGAATAATTCATAGTGGATACTGAATGATTCATAGTAGATGCTGAATAGTTCATAGTAGATACTAAATGATTCATAGTAGATACTGAATAATTCATAGTAGATGCTGATTCATAGTAGATGCTGAATGATTCATAGTAGCTACTGAATAATTCATGATTCATAGTGGACACTGAATGATTCATAGCGGACACTGAATAATTCATAGTAGATACTGAATGATTCATAGCAGTCACTGAATGATTCATAGCAGATACTGAATAATTCATAGTAGTCACTGAATAATTCATAGTGGATACTGAATAATTCATAGCATTCACTGAATAATTCATAGTGGATACTGAATGATTCATAGTAGATACTGAATAATTCATAGTAGTCACTGAATAATTCATAGTGGATACTGAATAATTCATAGTATTCACTGAATAATTCATAGTGGATACTGAATGATTCATAGTAGATACTGAATGATTCATAGTAGATGCTGATTTATAGTAGATGCTGAATGATTCATAGTAGCTACCGAATAATTCATAGTAGTCACTGAATAATTCATAGTGGATACGGAATAATTCATAGCATTCACTGAATAATTCATAGTGGATACTGAATGATTCATAGTAGATACTGAATAATTCATAGTAGTCACTGAATAATTCATAGTGGATACTGAATAATTCATAGTATTCACTGAATAGTTCAAAGTGGATACTAAATGATTCATAGCAGATACTGAATGATTCATAGTAGATGCTGATTTATAGTAGATGCTGAATGATTCATAGTAGCTACCGAATAATTCATAGTAGATACTGAATAATTCATAGTAGAAACCGAATGATTCATAGTAGTAGATACTAAATGATTCATAGCAGATACTGAATGATTCATAGTAGAGGCGGAATGATTCAGAGTAGCTATTGAATAATTCATAGTAGATACTGAATAATTCATAGTAGATACGGAATAATTCATAGTACATACTGGATAATTTGTAGTGGATCAGAAATCATTTAACATTACAGTTCTCAAATTTCTTTTACATTGTGATTATTGATATAAAGATGATATAAAGGTTGATTCACTGTGAAGAATGAAGTTATTTATCTATGATATTATCAATGCAAAGTTGTGAGTGAGTGTGTGTGTGTGTGTGTGTGTGTGTGTGTGTGTGAGTGTGTGAAGCTCTGCTGGCTGTGTGTTTTCCTGCACTGTTTCAAACCGAAAGAATCCTGAAGACAAAAGTGAAAGCAAAATATGGCATGAAGCTGTTGGGCAATGTTTACTTTTAAATTTAATTTTGAAACAGTCAGTAAACTCAATTTGTTTTATTGTGATCGAAAGCTCGATTTTCTCCTGGTAACGCGGTCTGAGATTGAGCTGGACACTGAGGTCCACTGTGAGCGGATGGAGAAGTGAACGCAGTGGTAGCTGCAGTTCAGTGAGATATGAAGCGCATTCAGTGAGTGTCAGTCTGAGTTTACAGTGAAGGAGGTTAAAGGGTGATTAGCTCAGTAGAGTTAGTGGTCAGTATTGAGAAAGCTCACCTGCATCTCAGCTGGGCCGGACGTGTTGGTCATTATTCTGTCCAGACTGTTTTACTGTGACATTTCCTCTTCAGTTACTGAGACGATGGCGCAGCGAGTCTCACACACACACACACACACACACAAACACACGCACACACACACACACACAATCCTTCCGGGAAGCGAAAGTGAAAGGATCTTCAGGAAAGAGCAGCACATTAAACAGTCTAAACTTAAAAGGCCAGTTTACTGAGTCGAGAGCTGCCCAAAGTGTCACCCTCCCAAAAAAGACTGCCACCCCCCCCCACCCCCACCCCACACCGAAAGAACAAACACATTTTATACTCTACTGCACTTTTAAACTCTTCTTTTGTCTTTTAAATTGTTATTTTGAAGTGTTATAACTATTAAATGTAGTTCAATGGTATACAACACAGTTTTAAAACTCCACCCTCTTTCTTTATTGTTCTGTCTTTTTGGCCCTTTGCCCCTCAAAAACTCTGTACTTCAAACCCTCAAAACCAGTATGTTAAAGATCACACTGAGGCAGAGCAGAGCTGCAGCTCTAGTTAGTTAAGAACACCAAAGACAGAAGCTGATTGTAGGTGAAGCCGATAAACAATGATCTTCACTCAATCTGGATTTAAGTGTCAACAGATAGCAGAACATCATATTTTATTTTCAGGGACCCCCAGACATTTAGGGGGTCCATGAGGTTAATTATGGGGTCCTGGACCCCCCAGGACCTCCTGTGTTTTGCACAGACAAAAAGTCTGAGGACCCGAGCCTAGACTTAAAATCCTTTCAATCAAGAATCAGCATTAGCACTGCAGTTCAGTCTAAGACCAAGTTTAATCCCAGTTTGTTACAATAATAATAATAATAATAATAATAATAATAATAATATATGTATATTATATATATTATTATTGTAACAGACATTAGTGTCATTAGTTTAGTTTATTAGTGTGTGTATTAGTATGTGTATTAATTTATTGTGTATTAATGTATATTAGCATGTGTTAGTGTTTAATTGTGTGCATTAGTGTGTGTTAGAGTGCAGCGCTGCCCCCTGCTGGCTGCTGAAGTATGATCAGCTTTTTAAGCTTTCAATTCAGTTTCCTGAAATGTTATTGTTATTATGTTATTAACCCTTGTTAACTTATTTTAAAAAATAAATTATATATATATATATATATATATATATATATATATATATATATATATATATATATTTCACTTTGTAAATCTATTTCTGACATGTTAAATTGTACCTTTTACTAGTAATTATGTTTCAGCATGTAAGATTTTAGTTGTCCACAAAAACACAATTAATATTTGCTTAGTTAATATCAATGAGACAAACAGTTTTTCAGGTATGAATTCAATTTAAAGATATGGAAAACTCTTTACTGTTAAGAGTGCAGTCGAGGCTTTACGTCCTTGTTGCCAGTGATAGAAACAAACGAATGTACCTTTTACCTTTCATTCATCTCTCACATCTTTAGGTCGGCCCTGTTCCAAATAAGGACCACTGTTACTTCTGATGGCTCTTGGCTCCTGTGGTGGGCTGAACCCTGTTGAGTGTTCAGGTGTGGGAACCAGTCCACTGGCAGGCTCATGCTCCTGGACCCAGGTGTGGACATCATGTGGCAGGACCTGTAGCAGCTACGATAATCCCTCTGATCTGCTCCATACTGTCCAATTCCAGCTTCATCCAGCGGCAGTAAAGTCCTTCCAACTTGTGAAAGGTCTCTTTTGGTGTCTCCTCAGTTGATCTTCCTGAGACAGCTTAAGAACTTCAACCTGCCACAGAGCCTGATGGCCCAGTTCTACACAGCGATCATCGAGTACATCCTCACATCATCCATAACCATCTGGTTTGGTTCCTAAGCCTCACAAGAATGAGCAAAACTCCAGCGCATAATCAGGACAGAGGAGAGGATCATTGGATGTATATGCCACACTTTGAGACATGTACAACAGCAGAGCGCCGGCAAAATTACAGCTGACTCCTTTCATCTTGGACATCACCTCTTCCAGACTCTCCCCTCTGGTAGAAGATTCAGGACCATCAAAACCAGCACAGCCAGACATGCTAAAAGCTTTTTTCCCAGAGCTGTAGATCATTAACCAGAGTGGACACCTCAGACTTTACACTTAAACTGACTATCAAACCTCCTCACTGTACTACAGTAACTCCTCTGGAACAGAACGATTATTTACTTGTGAGGAGTATATAAGTATGTGGGCTGTATTTTGTTCTTTTCTGTGATTTGCCCTCTGCGGGAGTCAGGTCTGTGGGGTGGTGGGTATTATTGTAGTGGTAACCAATCGGATGCGTTGTTAACTCTGCGAGACGAAGCTACAGAACAAGAGAAAAGAGGTGCCGATGTAGTTCGGAGAGCAGCACAATTACACAGGTTTTTTTTTGTTTCCTTACTAACCTAGCTCGCTGATTTTAAGCTGCAAAAAGCCTTTTAACTTTAAGCATACATCTGGGAAGGGAGTTGAGGTGTTCTAGGAACTCGTTTGAGCAATTTCGCGGGAGATTCGAGTGAAAGAACCGGCTCCAAAGACGGCTGCGTGGAGTATGTGAAATGGCGGACATGATAAACTTTGTCATGGACTGAGAAAAAGTTCAGAGCTCCGTCAGTGCAGTGAACCGAGCTGAGGACATTCAGTATTACTGTTATGCAAACCCCGCTACAAAAGTGGCGTCACGAACAGGATTTTACTAGGTGTATTTGTGGTAGATTGCAGCTGTCGGTCATAGGTCTTTTAGTTCCAAGATGTCGGAGCTGGAAGAATTGAAGAGAGAGTTTGCAGAGATGCAGCAGAGGTTTGCAGAGCAGTCTGGAGCTTTGCAGCGGGCTCAAACAGAACAAAGGGAGGCCCTTTCTCTAGCAAAAGCTGTTACAGAGCAACAGGTGGCTGCTCAGAGAACCCCAGCTGCTGTGTATATCCCCTGGGACCGCAAACTTCCAGAGTTTGGTGGGTGTTCCACAAAACCAGGTGAATTGAGCATTGAAGAGTGGGTTACAGCAATGAAATCTGCCTTTAAAGTCATGAAAGTAACAGATGAAGACCGTATTAAACTGGTCAGGCAGCAATTAAAGGACGAAGCTAAGATGACTGTAAAATTATTGCTAAAAGGAAAGGAAAAGAGTGTGGATAAAATATTCTCTGTCCTTTTGCAAACTTATGGAGATAAAGTGCCTATAGGTACAAGGTTAAAGGAGTTTTATGAGAGAAAACAGATGTCTGGTGAGACAATACACTCCTATGCGTATGATTTGCAGGAGAAACTGAACCGGGTCCTGAATAGGGATGCTGACCGCGTTCCGGACGCTGATGCTGTGCTTAAAGAGCAACTGGTCCTGGGCTTAAGAGATGACTTTTTGAGACGTGAAATGAAGAGAAGGGTCAAGGATGAAAAGGATTTGAGTTTTGCTCAGCTGATGCAGGCTGCCATCACCTGGTCTGAGGAAGAGGAGGTGCCAGCAACATGCAGTATGAGAAGTACCCGCTCTAGAGGTGTTGTAAATGCTGCTGCAGCTATGACAGACACTCCTACCAAGCTGACCCTTGAGACACTTCACGAGGCTAAACAGAAGATAGCTGCTCGCCAGGAAGAGTTGTATCAGGTTGTTCACGGTCAAGATAAAGCAAAGCTTCAGCATAGGAAACCAAGAAAAACACCCCTAAAGGACAGTGAAGGGAGATATGTTTGCTACATATGTAGAGAGCCAGGGCACACCAGTCATCACTGCCCACATAATGAAGAAGGAAAGAGCCCAGACGTTTCACCCAAGTGTGATGAAGCAAGCGGAATGGTCAAGACTCCTCTGTGATCTGGAGCAGAACAGCCGAGACCATTTCACAGGAAGTATCTGGCACTCTTAGAGAGAATGCATTTGGAGACTGCCTTACCATTGAAGTTAAGACAGCTGGCGTAAAAACAAACTGTCTTTTAGACACTGGATCAGAGGTTACCACAATAACCGAGTCTCACTTTAAGAAGCACTTTGGAGAAAGAGAGCTGACACTATCATCGGCTGATTGGGTGAGGCTTACAGCTGCAAATGGCTTGGACATCCCTGTGCTTGGGTGTCTAGCAGCGGACATTGAGTGCATGGGAAGGACACTTCACAAGCGGTGCGTGTTTGTGTTAACTGACGCCAATCCAGATGTTAAAGACATGAAAGGACTTCCCGGTATCATTGGGATGAATGTGATCAGTGGACGGGATCTTTTCATGGCTGGAGAAGGAGTGAGGCCGATGAATAGGTATAACCAACACGCAGGGGAGGCTAGTGTACGACGTGTGCTTGCCAAAGTAGAGAAAGAGTCCCAGTTTTTTGGCCCTGGTGGGAAGATTGGTTTTGTTAGAGTGGCAGGAAAAGGACCAGTCACTATTCCCCCATTTACTGAAAAAGTGCTGGAAGGCCGCTGCACAGTGCCACCCAAAGTGAAGTACCAAGTCCTGGTTGAGGCTACACCTAAAGCGAGTATTCCAAGGGGGCTCATGGTTGCGAATGTGCTAACAAAGACAGTAGGTGGCAGAGTGCCAGTGAGGGTGCTGAACGCGAGCGAGAGGCCCATTACATTAAAGCCTAGGTCCATGGTGGCATCAGTGCATAAGCCACAGGAAGTGCTGCTAAGGAAGATTGTGGAGCTGGAGGAGAGCGAAGGGGTCCTGCATGTGAGAGCAGTTGAACAAGATGATAGCCACCCTAAGGGATGTGATGCAGGTCAGCTCCCTGTCCCAGTTCAAGTGAACTCTGATGGCCTTACTCCATCACAGTACAAAGCACTAACCAGTCTGCTTGAAAAGCATAAGGATGTTTTCTCAAAAGGTGATCATGATTATGGCTACATTGGCTGTGCTCAGCCAAAAGCAAGGGGGATCCGAACGTGTAATAGCCTATGCAAGTCGGGGGCTGCGAGGATCCGAAAAAATTGACAAGAACTACAGTGCATTTAAGCTAGAGTTGTTGGCACTTAAATGGGTTGTAACAGAAAAATTCAGAGACTACCTGATGTTTGCGAAGTTCACTGTCATTACAGACCACAACCCCCTGCGCTATTTGGGAACAGCTAACCTAGGGGCAGTCGAACAAAGGTGGGTGGCCCAGTTGGCAGAGTACAATTATGATGTCTACTACAAGCCAGGGAGGCAAAACACCAATGCTGACACCCTGTCGAGAATTCCTTCCCTGGAAGAGCCTGAGTGATGTGGGCAAAGATTTCATACTGATAGAAACTGAAGAAGTGCGTGCATGCTTGTGGCCGGCTGCAGACAAGAAAAGAGAAAAGTCTGCTATACAGGCTGCTGTCAAGGCCTCAGTCAAAAGAGAAGTCTGTGGGTACAGTTGGAATGAGATTATGGAACAGCAAAGATGTGATTATACCATCCAGTCAATTTACAACGCTGTGCGGAGTGAGAGAAAACCTAGCCCTGTTGAACAACGTGCTATGGATTTGAAACAGAAGAAGCTTTACAGACAGTTTGACTGCTTAAAGCTACGCCAAGGGGTGTTATTCCGCTGTATATGTCATCCAAGAGATGGGGAGGATGTATGGCAGCTTGTTGTGCCAGAATCTCTGCAGCGCAGGGTCTTTGAGAGTCAGCATGAGCATGGTGTTTTGGAGAAAGAAGTACCCTTGAGATGATGAGGCAGGGTTACTATTGGCCGACTATGGCTAGAGATGTCCAGAGTTGGATTAAGCTGTGCAGACGGTGTGCACTTGCAAAAGATGTACTTCCACGGATTCGTGCCCCCATGACCTGTAGTAAAGTTAGTGCCCCATTGGAAGTCCTTGCGATGGATTATACTCTGCTGGAGAGATCCTCAGGAGGTTACGAGAATGTGCTAGTCCTCACAGATATGTTTACCAGATTTACCATCGCTGTACCAACTAAAAACCAGACAGCTCATACAACAGCTAAAGCTCTTCTGAAGTATTGGTTTGTTCATTACGGTTGTCCAGCCCGATTGCATTCAGACCAGGGTTGAAACTTTGAATCTAGCGTAATCAAAGAGCTTTGTAAGATTTGTGGTATAGCCAAGAGCCGCACAAGCCCGTATCATCCACAAGGAAATTGACAGTGCGAAAGATTTAACAGGACAATGCATGACATGTTACGGACTTTGCCTCCTGAAAAGAAGAGAGACTGGAAGGAATACCTTCCTGAACTGGTGATGGCATACAACAGTCATGCACATTCCTCCACGGGCTATTCACCTTTTTATCTCATGTTCGGAAGAGCTGCAAGGTTGCCTCTGGATGTGCTTGGAGGAAAGGACTTAGAGAACAGTGACATCGATAATCTAGATGACTGGGTAAGGAATCACCGTGAAAGGCTGAAAACTGCCGTAAACATTGTGAGGGCGGCCACACAAGAAGCTTCCAAGAGACGAAAAAGGGCCTATGATCGTAAATCTTTTGGGGCTCTTGTCAGACCTGGTGACCGCGTGCTGCTGCGCAATCACAAAACTCGGGGCAGAAACAAAATACAAGACAAGTGGGAATCACAGCCATACATTGTACTAAAGCAAAATCACACAGACATACCAGTATTCACCATACATCATGGATGTTGGCTTTTAAATTGCATGCTGATCTTTAGCCCAGAGGATGCAGCGTCCATGATTTCCAAAAAGAGTTTCAAATTTCAAAGATATTCCAATGGTTTCTTCTTTGCATGGTGGAGTTTAACTTGCATTTGTGGATGCAGCGCCAAACTGTTTTCACAGACAGTGGTTTTCAGAAGTGTTTCTGAGCCCATGCAGTGATTTCCACTACAGAATTGTGTCTGTTTTTAATGCAGTGCCGCCTGAGGGCTGAGAGATCACGGCCAGCCAGTATTGTTTTTTTTTGGCCTTCTCTCTTACACACAGAGATTTCTCTAGATTCTGGTTTCTCCTTCATGATGAAATCCCCAAGTTTGTCTTGAATTGTTGCACTATTGCCCACTCAGTCTTTCACAGAGTGGTGAATCCTCCCCATCTTTACTTCTGAAAGACTCAGCCTCTCTGAGATGCTCTTTTATACCCAATCATGTTATTGACCTGTTACCAGTTAACCTATTTATAAGTAAGATGCTCCACCACGTGTTTTTAGCAAAAACAATTTCTTGTTTCTTTATTCGTTTTTGATTCTGATACCAAAAAACAACTCAACAATTTGTGTTTTGTAGTTTTGATTTTATGCTCAAACTGAATTCCCCTATCAGTAAATAGTTTAGTGAAAGCTCTAACATGTTCTTTGAAATTTGCTCTACACACCCCCCTCACTCCTGTCTGTATTGATCCGCCCTTTCAGTGTATGCTTGCCAATTTTCACCACCTGTCAGTCGCAAATAGTTTCATGCACAGACGTGTCCAGACTGCGGCTAACAGAGAGTTAAACCACCTGCAGCACATTTCATAAGGTAAATTGTCTTTCTGTGCATGTGTATCTTTGCTTTGTCTATATGTTGTAAAGCTTTAAACTCTACTGTTGGAAGGTAGAGGCTAAAGTAGCATGTTCAACTGTCTAATTCAGTAGTTCTGTCTGAGAGGTGTAGCTGCTGAAGGCTGGTAGTGGTGGTTAAAGTGGACCTAAATGAAGGGGCTGCTTATGCTAACTATACACTAGAAGTAGAGGTAGGATTAGGGTTAGGGTTAGGTTAGCATTATGTGACAACCTCCTAGAATCCTCCTAAACTCTGTTATGTTGTGAATGGAATGGAGATTTGCTAAGTTGCCAACAGGTAGTCACAACACCGTATGGCAACGTTACACAACATTGTAAAAAGGGAGACAATGTTGTGACAGTGTTGTGTGTATGCTGGGGGTCTCACACCATCCAGCTGGGTTCTGAAGATGTTTTTGGGCAAGTGAAATATTGGGGATCACACACTGCACAACTAAGTTGCTGCTGAATCAAACAGAACTTACTGAACTCAAGCACGTGTTCTCCTGTTACTATACACTTAAAAAAGATGGTTCTTCAGGGGTTCTTTAGTACAGAGAATGCTTCTATACTTTACAGTTTCATGAACAAAACATAAAATCAAATAACAAACTAACAACAACAGATTAAAGGTTCTGTGAATGACTGTACTGCTGAGTTGTATGTTACTATATTCAGTATTGTGTGTGTATATGTGATGTAATTGTACCGAGAACATTCTGTTCTGCCTATTTCTGTCCATCCCTACATAGTCATGTCTGACACAACTGTCACTTGTAACATAAAGGCTGGGTCTAATCTTGGCATTAGTCCAGCCTATAAAATTGTGACTGTCCACTGTTTAAAGGACTGCCTAAATGTTTGGAAAACAAGCTAGTGAGACTAGTGAAGCTCTCATATTCTCAATACGTCCTACTGCATCTACATTCCAGATAATTATGAAGACACTGAGTATGTTTACATGCACTCACTAATCCGATCATAATCAGATTAAGGTCTATAAATTGCGAATGTGCCACCACTCTAACCTCTAAACGTGACTAATATTTCAATCAATCAATCAATCAATCAACCTATTTAGCCTCGGAAGTACACTGAGGGGGGAACCTCTTTTACAATATAGCCAGTAAATTACAAGGGACTGAAAAAGTTTAAATGTAATTTAACAACTAAAACAAATGAAAATCATCAGGACCAAAGATTTATAAAAAAAAAACAGCTCAAATAAAAAGCAGGCATAAAATATCAATAAAATGAAAACACATTAAAATGCAGTAAAAGAACCAACTTAGATGTTATTATTCTTATTATTATTGTTGTTATTATCATTGGGTGGCACGGTGGCGCAGTGGGTGGTGCTGTCGCCCCCAACCCCCCAACCCCCCCAAAAAGGACCTGGGTTCGGCTCTCTGGCTGGGCAAACGGGTTACTCTCTGTGTGGAGTTTGCATGTTTTCTGAGTGAGTTTCCTCTGGGTGTTCAGGTGAGACCAGTGAGACGAGTTTTAGAGACTCCTGTAGTGAATTCCAGCTCACTGGTGCTCTGAGCTAAAAGCAGCTTTTCCCAGTTCAGTAAAAACTCTCGGTACCTGACAGGTCTCTCAGGTTTAAGGTAAGAAATTTTAGTAAATGGCGATGTCATTCATTCATTTGGGATAATTCACAAAAGCAGAGAATACTGTATTTCATGTGGCCAATCGGTTTAAAATGACCAAGCCATGTGCTGCACCAAAGGATTCAGAGGCGTATCGCCTGTGATCAACTGTTGTTAGAGCAAAAACAAACACACCCCTCAGGTTTTATAGTTAATACAACTACAAGTCAACTCGGTGAACACTGGCTGGCTGTTTTGATTTTGCTGGGTGGAAAAGTTTTTGATTCCGCCTGACTTTGAATTTTTTCCCAGTTACATCATGTTTTTTCTAAAAAACTATTCACAATGTAATCTCCAATTTGCAAGAAAAAGATTGTACCATGTGCAAAGATGTGCTTCACACACATTCACTACATTTAAGATGTTTACACTGGCTAAGATTAAATTTTTTGCGGTGTACAGCAAGTGGGAGATACAAAAAGTGCAAGCTGTGCAACTGACCTACAGGAAGTTGAATCCACGAAACAAAACAAAAGTAATAAACTGAGTTGAACTACAACAAAAGATAATTATTAAAAAGGCATTCTGTATAATATTATAATTTTGGTTTAATTCGCATTAATCAGATTCTTTCTAACTGTAAATGGAAATGTCCAGAAATGTTTGAAATATCTTCAATCTCTCTGAATGATCAGCACTGATTGGTCATTATGAACGAAGAATTTTGTGATCATTATTGATCTTTCCTGTTGACCCATCCTCTGGCCCTGTCCTGAAGAATGCTGGGTTGGTTCGGTAAGCAGCTCGCTCGGCCCACTCAGTCCCTCTCCGGGTGGCTGACTACCAGGTTCTTCAAATTCCACAACCACCTGCTGGAGGAGAACTCAGTGAAGCTCTGCGACCTGCAGCCTGATGAGACGGTGCTGGAGATTGGACACGGACCGGGGCTCGGCCTGCAGCATGCGATCCAGAAACTGACCGGTACGGCTGCGCGAGACGCACTCATGTTCATAACCAGATAATAACAATATATTATCAACATATTCAAAATAACAGCAAGAGCAAGGCTGATGTAATAGGTACAGTTCATAAAGAATCTGAGAGGGAAGACATTTCCTTTTGCTGTCTAAAATAAGAAGCAAACTGTAACTGACCATTTTAAAGCAGTCAACATCACTGCTGGACTGCATTCAGTAACATTGCAGAGCAGCAGATTTACACTATTTGAAGAATATTTCAAGAAAGTGTGATAGAATTAAATAACGGGGAGAATGAAGCGATCCACACACCTCTGTGTGATATTTATTGTTTGTATGATGTTTACTGTTTATTGTTTGTGTGATGTTTACTGTTTGGATATGACCATGTGGTTGGTGAAGCACAGAGAACCTGCTGGTGTGATTGTTTTTCCAACACACCATCTCACGCACACCATCACAGTTATTAAATAGTAATAAAAGTTGCTGAGAGTTGTCAGTGCAGCCTGGATTAATCTGTGTCTGAGGATTATAACAAAACAAATTTGGTGAAAATCAGTGGAGCAATAAGGAAGTTGTGGCTGATTTAATCCTGAGAACTCATATCGCAATACAGTGTATTTGTTTACAAGCGAATCTTGACCTCTCCAACATGGCGGACGCACAGATGTATCGCCTCAGATAGAACAACAGACAATGCGGCATCTGTGTGTTTATATCTATGTGTAACTGCTGGACCATTTAGGGTGGAACAGAATATTCAAATAAGGTGCTAAAATCAGCTTTGTATTAGCCAGAACAGTTATGTTAAATTATATTATTTTATATTATATTATATTTTATTATGTTATATTATATTACATACAGTTATATTAACTATAACTATTATGTTGGTGAATGTTATTATATTTTATTATATTGTGTTTTATTGTGCTATATTATCTTATATTGTGTTATATTTTGTTATATCATAATATTATACTGTGTTTTATTATATTGTGTTGTGTTGTGGTGAGTGCAGGGCCACAGGGGAGGCTGCTGGGGGTGGATTACTCTGAGTATATGCACCTTATGGCCTCGGAGCTGATGAAGGAGCAGATCTCTGCTGGTAAAGTGAAGCTGTTCCTCAGTGATGTTGCAAAGATGCCCATAGAAGATAACAGTGTGGATAAAGTGTTCCACTGTAACTGCTACTACTTCTGGCCTGATCTGAAGAGAGGAGCTGCAGAGATACACCGAGTCATGAAACCAGGTGAAGCTCTTCTTCAGGATGACTGCTTTTTTTATTGGCCAGCTTTGATATAAAATATAGACCTCAGATCTTTAGAAGTAATGAAAGGATATTAACATTTAGCAGAAATAGAGCGTTGCTAAAAGGAATATCTGAAAAGTCAAACTTTATTTCAGTGTGCACAGCAAAGCTAACTAACAGGGATAACAGGGATGTTGACTGATTTTGATGTTCCAGTGTCTGCCTTCCTCTGCAGAGGGAGATAATGAGGACTCATCATCTTCTAGACAAGGTTTTTCTTCTCAGTGGACAATGAACCTCCAACACGTTAGTCTGTTGAGGGAACACTGAGAACAAAGTAATGCTACCTAGCTAACAGCAAGAAAGTACAGAGTTGTGTCACAATGTGGGTGGGGTTGGTTGGCACATTAACTTTGGGGTTGGGTGGTACATTGGTTTTGTGGTTGGTTGGCACATGGACATTAGGGTTGATTGGCACATTGACTTTAGGGTTGATTGGCATATAGATATTGTGCATGATTGGTACATTGATTTGGGGTTGGTTGGCACATTGAATTTGGGGTTGGTTGGTACATTGAATTTGGGGTTGGTTGGTACATTGACTTTGGGGTTGGTTGGCACATTAACTTTGGGGTTGGTTGGCACATTGACTTTGGGGTTAATTGGTGCAATGACTTTATATAGATATTGTGCATGATTGGTACATTGATTTGGGGTTGGTTGGCATTGGTATTGTGGTTAGTAGGCATGTTGACTTTAGGCTTGGTTGGCACATCGACTTTGGGGTTGGTTGGCATATCAGTATTGTGGATTATAGGCACGTTGACATTTGGATTGGTTGGTACTTTAACTTTGGGGTTGATTGGCACATCAATATTGTGGATAATTGGTACATTGACTTTGGGGTTGGTTGGCACATTGACTTTGGGGTTTTTTGGCACAGGTGTCAGCGTGTCCAAGTGCTGAGCTATTCCCACAAACATACATTGTTTTATATATAGGCTGCAGTCATAATAATCTGCACACTTACTCAACATAAGTTCAATATAACACTGTTTATATTAACCTTACATTAAATATGCTACAAGTTGTTCTTGTCTCTGATCTTTAAGCCATTTGATGAGAGAGTCTGTCTCAAGACCAAAATAACATAAATTTGAACATAAACTTTTTATGTGAAAAAGATTTTTATTAAAAAAAATGATTTAAAAGAAACAAATATTGTATCATAACAATGAAATTGCTAAATGGCAAAAATATAATGATTTGTGGTGTTTTAATACAGACTAAGAGGAATGAAAAAAACATAAAATAATTGTTAAAGAGACCCAGTTTTATTTGTCTTATTGTAGTTGTTGTTCAACACAAGCCCATAAAATACATAAACCATTTTAACTTAGACGACCACTGGTTTAGTCTATATTAAAAGGTCAGCTTTTTTGTTTGTTTGTATCTTAATTGATTGAAACTACTTTTAAGACTGTGCCAACTGTCCCCATTGCATGCCGATGTTGAGGCTGGCAAGTTCACAACAGGAATTTAGACATGAATGAAGTTTGAAGTTTCTACCTAAATCTGAATTGTTGTTTTTTCCATGTTTACAGGATAATGTTTGTTTCTGTTGGGTGTCCTCAGGTGGGCTGATGGTGACGACTCTCCGACTGGACAGAGTAATTTTATTTGCCTCTAAGAAAATAATGACCGCAGAGAACTGGCGTCCAAAGGACTATATGGAGGCTCTGGAGAGCGCTAGGTTCATAAACGTCAGGATGGAGAACAGAAAACCCTCAGAGCTTCAGCTACAGTGTCAACTCACTGTCAATCACACTGACATCACACTGAACACTGAGCCCTTTACTCTGAGAGGACACCCCCAGACACATAAGCCCCACCCACTTTATGCAGACAGAACACGCCCAGACATGTAAACCCCGCCTACTTTGCTCTGACATGACCAACCAGATACATAAGCCCCCTCCCATTTTACTTTGATAGAACACGCCCAGATGAACAAGCCCCACTCACTTTATCCCATAGGACACAACCAGAAGCATAAGCCCCGCACACTTTACTCTGATAGGAAGCACACAGATTAATAAACTCCACCTGCTTTACTCTGATAGGATGCGCCCGGATTAATAACCCACATACTTGACTCTGATATGACATGCCCAGACGAATAAGCCCCGCTCTGATAGGACACACCCAGATACATAAGACGCGCCCACTTTAACTACATAAATGCAGATATTTCAGTGAAGTCACTCATTGTCACCTGAAGACTCTGCTCTTCAATAAACATCATCATTATTAACAGCAGATGTATTTTTATCGAGTTAAACTAAATGTTGTCAGTAGGGGCCGCTGCAGCTCCTTCTGCGGTCCTGTCTGTGTATTTCAGTGCTGCTCGCTCTAAATCAGGCTTTTATTTTCACCTATTTGTTTGTTTTATTTGAGTTTGTGCTGTTATTTTTCAGACTGAGCCAAGTGTAAATCCTGAATGTGATTGTGGATGAAAGCAGTGGAGTCTGACCAGATATGTATAGATTTATTGTTTTATTATATAGGTTATTATTGATCAGCTGTATGAAATTTTCTCAATTTTGATCAGCTGTATGAAAGCCAAACAGCATAATCACACACTAAATTTAATTTATAGCTGAATTTCACATTCATACATTTTCAAACTCATATCTTTTATTCTTTCATAAGAAACCTGATTAGCTCATCTGACAGAAAACAAAGCTGTTAAACTGTTTGGAATTATTTCATCTGTTACTCGTTTATTTTAATTACTTTGTTTGTTGTGTGTGCCTTTTTCTTTCTCTACCTCTCTGTGTTCTTCTACTTCATTCATATACTGTATTCTCTTTATTCTGATATACAATTTTCAATAAAAATAATAATAATAATGATAATAAAAAAAGCATTTTGAGTTTGGTGGTCTGAAAACAAAATGAACAATTGATGTTTTACTATTAATAATAATACTTGCTAAGATTGAACTTGTGATAAAATTAGGGGTTAAAAGCTGAAAGTTAATGTAGAGCAGGAAGCCCCGCCTCTTCCGGTCAGACGAGAATCTGGTTTCCTGCCTAAGTGACCAAATTCAGGTAATCAGATCAGATCGTTTGGTTTTTACAGCCGTTTTTAAAACAGATAGAAACACTTTATTATATTTATTGACTGATTGATTGTTCGACTTATTAGAATCTCAGTCGTTTGAACTCTCTTTGATCTTTCTGATGGTCAGCGCTGATGAGTTGGTAGAAATGAAGAAGACTGGGATCATTGGGAGTTTTATTATTGATCTCTTATTATTCTAATATTCTATCATTATTGATCTTTCTTGTTGACCCCCACTCCGGTCCTGTCCTGCAGAATGCTGCTCCGGTTCGGTAAGCAGCTCGCTCGGCCCACTCAGTCCCTCTCCGGCTGGCTGGTCAGTAAGTTCTTCAAACTCCACAACCACCTCCTGGAGGAGAACGCAGTGAAGCTCTGCGACCTGCAGCCTGATGAGACGGTGCTGGAGCTCGGACACGGACCGGGGCTCGGCCTGCAGCGCGCGCTCCACGGGCTGACCGGTACGGCTGCGCGAGACGCACTCAGATTGTAATAAACACCAGCAACCCAACCGTTACAGTTAATAATTAAGTTTAATCTCAGACAGAATTACACGGAGCTTAAACTCATTTCTCACTCCAATCCTCCGGTCCACCTTAAATAGCGCTGCAGATACACTCTGGAGCCTCGAAAGTTAGAAGGTAATCGCTGCGCCATTTAAGGTGGAACGAGGAGTTCCAGTGAGAAGCCAACTTAGAACCAGCAGAATGTCACTGTTACACCTCTTAAGGTGGACCGGTGTTGCATCGCATTCAATTCCCCGCAAATTCAGGCTCCCTTATACACGTCAGGTTCTCGTGTGCACATTCACTGAACAGAAGCCACGCCGAGCAGCGGTGTAACTACGGAGAGCCAAAAGGTTCAAACAAAGTTGGTACGACTGTGAGTGTTTATCCAATCAGAGACCAGCAGCCCTGCTGACTAAACCATAGAAACCATTAAATGTGTCTGTTGGTTTCTGATGGCTTTGTAATGTGTTTTGTCTTTTTAATGGCTTGATATCACAGTGTAAAGGATCCTAATGGTTTAACAGGTGACCACTGGCTGATTCTAAATGCATTCGGATCTAAAGATGCTCTACAGGCAGGGTTGGGATAGCTACTGAAAAATTAGTAGTTAGCTACTTTGTAGCTACTTTCCCAAAATTTGTAGCTGCTGCAATTTAGCTACTTTTCCAGAAAAAGTAGTGGCTACTTTTTAGCTACTATCACCAAAAAGTAAGTGTAACCAACAATCAAAATTACACAACCAAAGGCGTGATATCCAACAAATAATTTGACTAAGTAAGGCAAGTATAGGCCTAAATAATTTCTCCACTGCTGCAGAGCTGTTGCAGCTCCACAGCAGAACTAGATTTTTAGGTAAAATAACATAATCCTTTTTTGCTGTAAAATCGTTATAACACACAGTTCCAACACAGTTTTCACAATAAATGGTCTTAAACACTGGAGGTAACGCACAACTGCTAATTTATCAACCTTTAATGCTGAAGTGTCCTGATACGTTTAATCTGCAACAACTCGCGAAACTGAAGTCAGCTTCTCATTCGCCAGCTTCTCGTTCTAATTTTCCCGCAGCAGTCCAATCTGGCACCTCGGGCACCATTTAAGGTGGAACGGGACAATTCGAATGAGAAGCGACTTCAGCCTTGTAAAAAGTTGAACATTGAGAGACATTTTACAAGAAACTCGGGGAAAAGTTTCCTGAGATGCGAGAGAAGCGGCTACAGCTGACCTAAAGCTTAAAGCAGAGCAAAGTATGTCTGCGTTTCGTTTATATTATATTTTTAGCCTATATTAGAACATAAGCACATACTGAGGCATATTTACAGCCAAGATGGTAAAATGGACATAAAATGTTGTGGCTCCCAAGGTGGTTTCATTTTTGTTGAAAGGACAAAATGGCTCTTCTTAACATTTCGGTTGCCGACCCCTGAGCTAAGCCTACTAGTAAGGGGTGATCAGCGCATGAGGCCAGTGCGTGACCATTTGCTCAAACTGTTCGCGGCTCAGTCAGGATTGCACAATTGCCACCAGCCCAGTTAACGACCGTAGTCTATGGTTAACATTTTTCGCAGGTTGCCTGAATCCTATAGTGAAATTGTAGTGAAAATTATCGCTATAGTCACACAAAAATTTGTAGGCGTTACAGCTATTAGCTACATTTCATAAAACTGTAGTAGCTACAGCTATTAGCTACAACAATTTGTAGTTAGCTACAAAATGTAGCATGCTAATTAGCTACACCCCCATCCCTGTGTACATGAAACTAGCCAATTCTCATTAGAAAGCAAAACCATTATCCTAATGGTTTCTGATGGTCCTTTTTCAGCAGTGCAAACAGCATTAACACGACTTTTTACCATTTACTGTTTATTCAGATTAAAAATATCGGCATCACACGGCACACAACATAAAACTTTTCATCTTTTTACCTTTAATTCGATTTTGGTATGTTTTGGTTATTGCATAAATCCGATTAGTGTCTGACTCATGTAGACCTGGAATTTCTTCATTATCTGATTACTCAAGTGCATGCAAATGCATTAATCAATGCAGTTATCTGATTATTAAGTGCATGTAAACACACTCATTGTTGCACTTTTAATGTTTTATTGATTTTTAACCTTTTATACTATTAAATTTACTATTATGATTATTATTTTTTTTTAGAATTTGTTTGTTTTACAATCTAATTTTTTCAATCCCTTTTTGACTTTGTTCTGTATAGGTTAGGCTACACTGTAAATCAGGGCTCCCTCAGTGTAGCCTGAGTTTAAATAAAGGTTTATTGATTGATTGATTGATTGATTGAAATAATAAATGATAAATAATAAATAAAACAGCATGATTGATTTCTGATTAAGAGTGATTACACTGATAATAAACACTGCTTTACTGACCAACATAAACACATTTTTATTGGATCTGTTGTTAACACAATTTTTAGAAACACAGAGAAGCTCAGTGACACACTAAACATCTCTGCTGAAAAAAATCATAGAAACCATTAGTTTCTGCTGGTTCCTGATGATGTCTTATAGGTGCTAATGGTGTTCTGTGTTTTTCTGATGGGTTGATGTCACAGTGTAAAAGACTTGTCTAACAGGTGTTCTGAGGCTGATTATAGATGTATTTGATGGTCTCCTAATGGGATCTAAAGGTGTTCTACAGGAAACCTGTGTTCTCTGTTGGTAACCATTAAGCCAATTTCCATTAGAAAGCAAGAAAGCATGAAGTTTTAATCCTAATGGTTCTAATGGTCCTTTCTCATAAGGGGTGTGGATGAAATATATAGTTATATTAATCTGATATACACCAACAGATGTTTTGGAACTCAGAACAGTGTTTAGTTACGGGCAGCATTAGGAGTAAAAAGCCTGGCCTCGTCCTGTTCTCAGAGTAATAATCCAAGTTTATCAATGTTTAAAATGACCAGAGATTTTGTCCAAACAAATGATGTTCACTTAAAAAATGAACTTGGCCTTTAGTAAATTTTACATAATAAAATTGTGCATGTTTTTCTCAATTTAAATGTGTTTTTGCTTCAACTAACTAATAATAAGCAATGTTGAAAACCAGTAAACTAAACATATGAAACATGCTTAAAGTGAATTAGAAATAATTATGTTGTGTCAGGGGGTAGAACCTGCGCATGCGCATGCACAACTTTTCCGGCAGCCATTTTCTACACCTCGTCTCTGGGAAGATTTGGATTACCTGAGAAGATTCTGTCATCTCACATTCACAAGGTAGGATATTGTATATTGTCTATTGTTTGTCATTATGGACATATAACATGTTCATGACATTTACGCAGAAAAATATTGGCAAAAACGTAAGGTTAAGGGAGGACTTAGCATGGCTTAAAATTCGCTATCTTAGCTAACCTAGCTAGCCAGTTTAGTTTAAACCGACACATATTCAAAGAACACATAACAATACTCTGTCAAATAATCACTGAACTTACTAAAGCTGATCGCAGTGTTTTAATTGTAAAGGTCAGTGTTTTAATTTAATGTGTCCTTCATAAGTATCTGTCTATGTTGAGGTCACTTGAGGTCCTCACTAAGTATGCGCACGAACACAACCGTTAGCTAACGGTACTGTGGACCTAGCCTGCTAGCTAGCTAAGTAACGGCGCCATTTTCTAAAGTTCACTGCAGACGAGTGCGTTTAACTGCTGTGTCATCGTACAAATACACGGTAAAATATTGTTTAGATGGTTGTAGACGCACACACAACGCAGCGTTGGGTATAACAGATGAAAACGTACAGTTAAGGTACGACTAGCATAGCATAAGTTTGTGAGGGGCTCAATTCAAAGCATATTCGAAGTAAACAGACCTAGTTGTGTGTCCTTGACATGATCTGTAGGTTAATAATTTTTCCCATGGAGGAGGCTGTGCTCGCTTTGCCTGTGATTTCAGATATGATATTTGGGTAATAGGTGTCCACAAATCTGTGTAATTTCAGCCTTTGTTAGCTAGCTAAGCTAGGTTAGCTAGCTGGCTCCACCGAGCCTGGAGTTTGGATATGGAGCCAGAGCCGGTTTCTGATGGAGCCTGCAAACGCTATTGTAGCTAGCGTTAGCTTAGCAAGCATAGCGTTAGCAGCTAGTAGGTTACAGACATCAGGTAACTACCTGGTTTAATTTCAGCGTTTGTCCATTTAAGACTTAATGTTCTGTTCAGTGAACCCAGTTTGCAATGTGTTGTTCCAACATGGACTCCGATACCGTTAGCGCAGCTTGCTAGCGTTAGTTAGCTAAGCAAACGTTAGAGTTAGCAGCTAGCTGGCTAACTTAGCTAGTAGGCTACAAGCACCATGAAGCAGGTTTAACATTAATTTCAGCATTCTGTTCCTTCAACACCAATCGCTCGACTTTGCTCTAACAGAATTGTCAGTGGAGATTTAGTTTGGCATAATAGAATCCATTATCTTGTTAACTATCAAGCTAATGATAACTGTTCAGCCCTATAGTGGAAAAGAGGTTTATGTTTGCCCATATAACAGCAGAGTGTCACTGGTCATTATTATAATCAGAATATCATTTTGTATATAAGATGGTGCATGCACACACACTCACAAATGTATTTTGCTCATGTAACTCCCCTGTCATTGTTACCAAGATGTGGTTTACCTAATGTTTAGTCAAACTGCATTTATGTTAAACGTTATGGACTTCAAGTGCCAAGTGGTATAATAATTACTTCTACATTGATTTTGATGCTCAATAATGCACAAACCCTAGACAGGGAATACTGATAGCCATATTGATTAAAAGAACCATGATGTGACATCATGTCATAGTTGGTAGTAAATGTCATAGTTGGTTTCAAACTAAAATAATGCTCAAAGGATTAAAACAAATAGCTAAATATGAGTAAAGTAATATATATTATTGTAAGACTTTTAAATTTCAGCCAAAATAATGCACTGTTGTGTCCTTCCACATGGTGAGATAAAACATTAAGGTAAAGCGATAAAACATTAAAGTAAAGCTTATGTTTAAGAGAAAATGTTAGCATGGTTTTTCATTTAATTTTATTTAAATGCCCTCTTTGTTTATAGGTTAAGGCTTACCAAGGTTGTTGAGTGCCATGTTTTAAAGGATTCTCTGGCATGTTCTAAGTCTCTGGTAAGTGCATTTTTATGACCCAGATTTGATATTTGTATTGAACTCTGTACTTTTTTATGTATTTCTTTTATTGTTCAAATTAGTATCATTTTTCAGTGTCTAAGATGATCAGGATTTTGATGTTCATATGTTTCTTTTATCTGTTCCTTGTATGCTTGTCAAGTTAATGTACCAATTTTTTTTTTTAAACAGTTGAAGGTATATTCGAACAAGTGCATTCAATATGTGCAGGCAGAGGATGTCCACCGTAAAACAGAAGCCATCATAAAAGCTCTTTGTCCGCGCCTGAATGATGATGATGGATTTTTTAATCAAGGAGTACATGGTAAGTCAGTATGTGACCTAAGCACATCACCATCATTCTAGTTCAATTCTAATTTCTAACTAAGGTAAATTCATTTTATTTCATATTTGAGCTCTTTAAAATACTGTGTGTCTTCCAGGCACCTCAGTTCTTATCAAGTGCTTATAACATTTGCTTAATAAAATCAGCCCCCTCCCATCTGTATAGTAAATCCAAATCGAAATGCGGCATTGGTGTTTTAGTATGTTAGCACCAACCATAGATTGTAGGTGCTAGTGTGAGAAGGGTGAGCTAGAACTATCCATTTTGTAATGTGTATTTTACCATTGAATGGAGTTTTGTGAAGATGGGGGCTGATTTTATGTAGATTCATCATAAAATAAGTATTTGATATTGAAAAAACTGTCTTTAGAAGAGCTCAAATGAGAAATAAACTGAACTTACTGTTTATGGAGCAAGAGTACAATGCAGTTTATCATTAATAACAAGATTTAATTTGTAGGACATTCATGGTGAAGGCATCTTGAGAGACCAGCACAGCACTGAAATGGGCATTTATGTCATCAGAAGAGGGTGGAGCTCTAGGAGAATATGAAGACGTTGACGCTGATGGAAACATTATTGTAGGAAACATCAAATCAGTCGCACCGGACTGCAGTAATGCTTGGAGTAATCTATGCACTGAATATGGCTCACCACAATGGGCGGAAATGCTGCTATGAATTTGTACATTCCTCATGCCAAAGGATGGTGCAAAGCTCTCCCCTAATATTCTTGGTTTGGAGAACAAAATCTTGGGATAGTCAAAGTAGGCTGTCCATTCTGGAAATATATGGAACTTTTCACACCAGCTTCTACTTTGATTGAAAAGCAATGGACTTTTGAACAACGCTTAATAAGAAATAAGAATGAATTTTAAGAGATGTTGACAAATACAGCCAGTGACATTTCAATGATTTTCTATACAGTATGTCAAGATCCTGGTCATGTTTAAGAACAATATGTCTTAAACAGCATGCAGTTAAATTTTAGAATCTTTTTTGCTAAAATTGTACAAAGTAGCCTTTTGAACAATTTGAGCTCTATAAATTTTCACCTGCAATTTGCATTGTCTCACAAGCAAAATAAGGTTGTGCTACAGGCAGTGCTTTGACAAGAAGGTTGTACTCTGTAGGCACTATTCCTGGGGCATTATTTTGATCATTGATGACAATTGGATGTTGTATAAAGTCATATAACATTAATACTGTGTTATTGTGCTGTTCTGTTTTAAATATCTGCTGTTGTAAAGTTGCACTTAAGGTTGGTGTTATCATTACATAATTACTGAATGTTACTTCATTGTTTCACAAATTCTGGGCCATTACTTAAGACTTAATTAATTGTGATGAGGCACACACATTTAGGTGAATGTGTTTATAATTGCAGTGTTCTGTTTGAAGCTTATTGTTGTATGTAAAGTTGCATTTTAGCTTGTGTTGCCTGCAAGACAAGCAATAATTGATTGATACCTGTGCACTTTTAGAGAAGTATTTAGTCTATTTTTTACTACTCTGCTTTATTTTGTCTATAGTCTAGTTTTATTACTTAATATTCAGTGTTATTCTAGGGTGATAAAGCAAATGTGTATTTTAGTTGATCCTAATATGCATGTGTATTTGATGTACCTTAATAAAGTCACTGTAATTTTTTTATTGTCATGAGTCATTGTCTTGACCATGTGTTTAAATAGATGGAACATTAATAAGTGTAGCTGAAGTTAAATATGTGAAAATTAACATTTAAACATTGTACATTAATAAATGCTCTGTGATATAATTAAGCTGTTGTATCTAATAAACAATGAGTAACTATTTGGAAATACAAAAGAATTGAGTAGTTTTACTAAAAAGTTATTTAACATTCTACATAATTTAATGAAATAGCATGAACATGATTAAATTTAGTTAAAATTACACTTCAAGAAAAAAAAAAGTATTCATAATCTACATAATTTGCTTAAGTAGAAAGAACATGATTCATTTTAGTTAAAATTACACTATTGAAGTAAATCCTGCAAAATATAGTTAAGTTGACATTACTTATAGGTAATAAGTAAATGTTACTCAAATTATATCTCTGAATGTAGATAATTTAATTTCGTGCAACACTGATGAAAAAAAATTAAGTAAATTCAAAGAGTCATTTTTTTTGATGATGTTCCTCTAGAAATATTCTAGAACATTAATCCTTTTTGAAAAGGGTTCTACATAGCACCAAAAGGATTCTTCTATAGTAACAAGCTTGACATCGCAACAATAGCAGAACCCTTTGGGTGCTATATAGAACCTTTTTCAAAAACAACACATTCTCCATCAATCTGAAGAACCATTTCACAATGTAAACCACCGTTTAATCATGCAAAGGGTTCTTTGAGTGTTCATGGTTCTTTATAGAACCATTTGCTTTACTGAACAACCCTTGGAGAACCATCTTTTTTTAGAGTGTAGCATTGATTATTATCATTAGATATTCCATCAGCATGTGTGATGTCCAATATGGAGCTTATGTAGCTGTATTATTGTGTTTGGGAGGAGAAACAAATTTAGGGCTTTTACATGTCTGTAATTAAACTGATCTTCTAAGTTTCAAAGTAACCAACGCTACCGTATTGTAAATTAATATGATTATATATTTCATCCACATGCATATTGTCCATTATGGAGCTTCTCTCAGCTGTATTTGTGAGGAAAAACAGAACTGGATGTTTCTGTGAGGTAAAACTGTTTACCTCTAAACGGTCTGTGCTTCTGGATGATTATGTAGAGCAGTGTTTCTCAGCGCTGGTCCTGAAGGCCACTGCTCTGCTCTCTTTAGTGTTCTCCAGCTCCCAACACATCTGATCCACATAATAAGCTCATTAACAGCTCGTTATTGGGTTAAAGTGGGTGTGTTAAAGTAGAGAAAGTGCTAAAATGTGCAGGACAGTAGGCCTCCAGGACCAGCATTGAGAAACAGTGAGTGTGTTTACATGCACTTAAGAATCTGATAATTATCATATTTCTGCAGTTATTTGATTATGAAGTGATTGTGTAAACAGCACACTCTGATTTCTTAGATCAGATTAACGTCTATAAATCTGATTAAGAAATCTGATAAAGAGGCTGGATTTGAGCTCAGTAATGTTTTTTTTCAGTGCATGTAAACCCTCACTCTGATTTCTTTTGTTTCTCTCAGTCTGCGCATGTGTGAAAACAGAGGGCTGTCCCAGTAATAGCAAGCAGCATTTAACACAGCATATCTCTATGCTGGTGCCATTTAAGGTGGCATTTTCCATACCACCTTAAATAGTGCTGCAGTTACATTGCAAGAACCTGATTAGTCAAAGGGAACATGAATTTGGGGCGGGGGGGACTGAATCGGATGCGGATCACCACAAAAGAAGTTTACAAATAAAATAAGTTGGTGAATAAGAATCCACCAACAGTTAAAGAGAAAAAAATGATTCTTTTATTTTTTATGAAGAATTATTTGAGCTGATGTGTATTGGAGGGCTGTTTGTAGTCATATCCACAATATATTATATTACATTATATTGTATTTTATTGTGTTATGTTGTGTTGTGGTGAGTGCAGGGCTGCAGGGGAGGCTGCTGGGTGTGGATTACTCTGAGTATATGCACCTTATGGCTTCAGAGCTGATGAAGGAGCAGATCTCTACGGGTAAAGTGAAGCTGTTCCTCAGTGATGTTGCAAAGATGCCCATAGAAGATAACAGTGTGGATAAAGTGTTCCACTGTAACTGCTACTACTTCTGGCCTGATCTGAAGAGAGGAGCCGCAGAGATACACCGAGTCATGAAACCAGGTAAAACTCTTTTTCACAGTTTACTGGTGCACTTTGCTATAATGTACAGTCTTTAGGTCTGTGGTCTCCAACTCTGGTCCTGGAGATCTACCTTCTTGCACAGTTTAGTTCCAAACTGTATCCTATAAGCTGCCCCGTCCCCTTACTCAGCTCTAGTACACTTAATTCCCGTTTGCGGACTGAAAAAACAAACTGATCCAGTTTAGAAAGAGGAATATGTTGCCACTCTTCTGACATACAAGCTTTCAGCTGTAGAATAGGCCTTAATTGTTGTATTTTGACCTTAATCAGATGCATCTTTTCAGTGTGAGACAGTTCTGGACTGCATGCAGGTCAGTCTATCACCTGCATGTTTCTTAGTGTGTCATGTTGAAATAAACGTGGACGTCCCAGAAAAAGACGGCATCTAAAAGGCAGCATATGTTGCTCCAAAATGTGTTGAGTGTTTTTGGAGCACAGATGTGCCGGTTATCCAGTAATACAGGCGCAAGATTTAGAACTCTACACTGGTAACAAACTTGATGGTCCTTTTCTACTTTGGCCTGGAGAACACAACATCCATTATTTCCATAAACAATCTGAAAGGTTGACTCGTTAGACCACAATACACGTTTCCACTGAGCATCAGTCCATTTCAGATGAGCTTGAGCCCAGAGAAGTCGGCAGCATTGTTGAAATATGACTTCCACTGTGCAGAGTACAATCTTAACTTGGTGATGATCTTCATCACAGAAACATGTCAGTTTCTGACAAAGTGCAGTTTGATAAAAATAATTATTTGTAACTTTTACTTGATTGAAAATTATTTGATTTCTATTCGACTGAAGAGAAATAGATGAGTTGAGGTGAGATCTTTCTGACCGGTCCTGTGGTTTTAAAACCGTTAAAACTGTTATTGTTGTTTTTTCCATGTTTATGTTTATGTTTCTGTTGGATATTATCAGGTGGGCTGATGGTGACGACCCTCCGCCTGGACCGAGTGGCTTTACTTGCGTCTAAAAAGATGCTGCCTGCAGAGAACTGGCGACCGGAAGCGTATATGGAGGCTCTGGAGAGCACTGGATTCAAAAACGTCAGGATGGAGAACAGAAAACACAAACTGATTCAGTATGAAGCGATTTACGCCACCGCTGCCAAATAAAAGCCCTCAGAGCTTCAGCTGCAGAGTCAGCCCTGAGATAGGACACACCCACAATAATAAGCCACACCCACTGCTGATTGGCTGCGCCCAGATGAGCAGTTTTGATCATTAACAGGTTTCAGAGAAAGTTTGTAAATTAGAAGGTCTTAGATTCTGTTTCTGCAGCTCCTTCAGCACTTATGTCTCTCTGTGTGTATCAGAGAGTAAATCAGGCTTTTATTTTCACCTGTTTACTTCACCTGTTTTATTTGAGTTTATGCTGCTGATTTTTAGACTGAGCCGACTGCAAAATCTTACCACACACGAACAGATGTTTTAAAGAGGAAGTTCACATTCACTGAGTCACTCACACACTTAACTACAGATCTGCTCAGAAACAGAAATAAAGAGAATAAACAGAATAATAAACAGAATTGCAGTAAAACACCACGTCTGGTTCAATGTGATGGGAAACACTCCGTTCTAGAGAAACCTACAGAGTCAGAATTGTTCACAGTGGTGGTGATAGGAACCAGACGTCAACCTCTAAAAGCTCCCTCACAAAAAGGTATTACATGAAATGGTTATGAATACACTGCCTTATGTCTGAGACGTTTTTTTATTATTGTTTTGAGAACTTAAAACTCCATTCATGGTGGAGGGATACATAGTATAATGTTCCAAAATAGTTCCCAAAGAAAACAAATAATTTCAGATTTTCCACTATTTTCCCATCATCAACATTCCATATAAACCTCAGAAGACACATGTAGGTTCACTGGAGGTTTTGGATGGTAAATAAAATGTCTATATTTATGCTGTAGTCATGGCGACCCCTGGTTCTTATCACCACCACTGTAAAGAAATCTGAATCACCACTCTGAATCACTCTGATCACTCCTCTCACTTTGGAGCTTTAGGGTTCTATTTTCAGACCAAAAGGATCCAAAAAAGAGAAGAACATAGTCTAACAAGGCACACAGCTACACCATTTGAGTTTCAGTTTACCATAAAGCTCCAGACAGCTCACTTGTTATTAGTGTAAATTACATTAATTGATCATTACAGCAGGGGCGTGGCCTGGCCTGGGCTTCTGGGGCCCAATATACAGCCTCAAATATTTTTGAACCAGCCCCGAACCTTCACCCTCTCCTCGAGAGACAGAGAGAGAGAGAGAGAATATGTGTGTGCACCGTGAGCATGAGTGTCTGAACTTTCTGTAAAAAAAGGCAAATCTACTACAGAATGACCAACACTGACCACTTTGTTTTACTGTGAGCTTTTACATTTAAAATAGAAAGATAAGTCTCACTGAGTGACAATTCAGCTCCTAAAACATTTAAAAAGTGTAGATAAAATGTCTAGCAGGATGTTAGAAAGGTGACAAGTAGAGGAGAAAATGTGCAAAGGACTTTAGTAATGGTGTTATTGGGAAAAATTTGTTTATTAATATTTAAAGACCCAAATTATCTTTCAGATTTTGCCAAAGAATACACTGACCAAACTCTTCTTTAGTTTTTATTTTCCTTTCCCCCCTTTTTTTCTACAATGTTGTCTTTAGACTACAGTCTTAAAAATGATAGTTCTTCCAGGGTTCTTTAGTGAAGATTCTATATTGTCCCGTGAACTCTGAAAGAACTGTTTGCATGATTTGTGTAATGAAGTTCTTGGCATCCTTAAATGGTTCTTCAGATTGAAGAAGAATGTGCTGTAGATGGTTCTATATAGCACCAAAAGCGGTTCTTCTATTGTTACCATGTCAAGCCTGTAAACATAGAAGAACTTTTTTGGTGCAGTATAGAACCCATTTCAAAAAGGTTCAATATAGAACCACAAAAAACATTCTTCATCAATCGGAAGAACCATGTAACAATGCAAAGAACCATATAGTCATACAGAGAGTTCTTTCAGTGTTCATGGTGCAATATAGAAGCTTTTTCTTTACTGAACAACCCTGGAGAACAAACAACAAGTAGGGCTCAAAAAAATTCAGAAAAAACAGCTTTATGACTGATTTGGGCTTTTCTAGTGAAAAAAAAATGTTTATAAAATTCTTTAAAAATATATCAAATATTTAAATGTATAAAATTGAATTGTTTGCATTGGATTATAAAAGTTTACAAGTAAGTTATGAGATTTGAAAATTGGTGAAAATTAATGATGAAAATTAGCAATTTTTTTTTTTACTTTCTGTCACAAATTGTGTTTTCACTCCTTTTTCTTTTGCTTTTTTATGACATCATTGCTGAATCTATGCATTTTTCTGACGTGTAAATCCTCACAGTAATTAAAAACTAGCAGCTACACACGGTTAATTAAAAATATATCCCAAAACAATCCAGCAGCGCTTTATTTTAAACTCAGGCGAAAATACAAATAAATCAGTGCTGAAGCAGCTCCGAAGTGTTTGATAGGAGAGTCTGTGCTGCCCCCTACAGCACAGAGAAGGTATTACAGTCTGATTTACATTTAGACGAGCCGAGCGTCTAAACACTATTTTCCCTTCTCGGATATAAACACCAGCGAACGACTTTTTTCTTTACAATGAGTTTTTGGCATTAAATTCAGTCTGATTTATAAATAAACGACAGAAAATCAGAAATTACTACTGTCTATCCAAAGTACAATTACACAAACTTTCATCACTTTACACCAATCGAAACCAGCCCTGTGACATTTTATCACATAAATATACATAAAAATCATTTTACAGGAGTCTTTATTATTAACAAAGAGGCACCTTTCAAAACAAAGTGTTTCGTATCCCATACCAAATGTCGTTTTTACACTTGAATACGGTATATATGAGAACTACAACTCCCACGATGCACCGCGTGGACGCTCGTATGACGCCGTACGTTTTAGCGGGAGAATCGAAGCGAGAGAAGGAAAAACAAACGGGTAAGCTGAAATAAAATCTAAATCACATTAAAATAACTTAAGAAATAGCCTTAACAAGAGTTTACGCGGCAATTTTAGCGGAAAAGTCAGCGATTTGGCGCTGAAAGAGTGACAGTTCGTGACGAAACTGAAGTTAGCTTTGTTAGCCTCACCTTAAATGGTGCAGTAGTCGCCAGAATGTAAATGCTGCACCATTTAAGGTGGAAAGGAAGATACGTAGAGTCAGCGGTTTAAGCAGAAATCTGTGTTTACTAACTGATTAAACTTACTTTTTGCACTTTTAATGTTGTTGTTGTTGTTATTATTTATATTTTTGAACTGTATGAATTCACATTGTTGTTAACTATTTAACGATTACAGAGTTTGTCTTTTGTTATTGAGTCTATAGTGGTGGTGGTGGTGGTGGTGGTGGTGGTTGTTGTTGTTGTTTATTGACTCAGTTTGACTATTTAGCATTAGGATGCAGAGAATCAGCCGGTTAAAGCGAGAACTTAAGCTTCTGAACACAGAACCACCTCCTGGAATCCAGTGCAACTTCAGTGAGGAGAACCTGGATAACATACAGGCCCGTTAGTACACAAATACACAAAGAGCATTCATGTTCACCAGCTCCTTCACTGCTTTAACTGCTGTACCTGGTCTGCTGATCAGTGATGTTGTGTTCTCTCTCGTACAGAGATCATTGGAGGTTCTAACACGCCGTATGAAGGTGGAGTTTTCCAGCTGGAGATAAAGATACCTGACAGGTGAAGCTCCTTGGATACATCACTAGAATTCCTTCCAAAGATTTATAAATAGTTTATTGATTTAAGCTGTGTAAACGGCAATTGACAGTAATATTATGACGTTGACTAAACTTTAGTTTATTGATACCTGAAATTTTGCATACTTTTTTAAAGGTATTGTCACTTTATTTTTGTATTTTTTATTGACACTCTTCAGTCACTCTTAAGCCCTTTATGTTTATTTTTCCTTTTGAATTTATTTTTGTTTTGCTTTTATGTATGTAAAGCTCATTAAATTGCCTTCATGTACTATAAATAAACTTGCTTGTTAATAGCATTATCAATGTTTATTGTTGAGTTTTGCAGGTATCCATTCGAACCTCCTCAGATTCGCTTCCTGACGCCCATCTATCACCCAAACATTGACACGGCTGGACGCATCTGCCTGGATGCTCTAAAAATGCCACCCAAGGTAAGAACACGATCACTTATAGCTAAAACGCTGAGTCAGCTAATCAGTCACACAGGGAAACAGAGAAACACATTTGTGGCAGAAAACCTAAACCTAAACAATAAATAAACACTAAAGGTGGGCGATATGGCAGAAATATTACAATATCTTGTGATATTTATATATTCAGACATCTGATCAGTTGGAATAGAGGAAAAAAAGAGCCAGCAGAGCTACATTCTAAAATACTATCAGAAACTGTGAACACAGTAGTTAATTTTTTTTTTTCTTCAGTATTTGTCACTAAATCCAGGTAAACGGACTAATTTTAAAATAACTTTATTTTTAAAATAAAACGTGCAGTTGGTCAGTGTCTGCAAGCATATACATGATATGTTCAGAAAAACATAGTGTATTTTGACGGTTTCTATAATACAATATTGATATATATTGTCTCATTGCCCAGCTCTAATAAACATTGGTGAGCTGCACTTTTGATATAGCACATAGAATGATAATAAATGTGACAAATCCAGCAGTCCTGTTTAAAAACCCAGTGAACATAAATATTTTTTTCAGGTTAATCTTGTTCATGCAGGTAAACATTTAGCATATACTAAGTTTATCCTATGAGTAATGTTCCAGTGACCAATAAGTGATCCATATATTTCACCATGTTTCTCTCCTCTCATTGTAAACTGGGCGGTCCTTATCTTGGGTAATCCTTCCGTAAACATTCCCCTGACCAATCCCAAGCCTGCGCCTCTTGGCCCACCTTTCATGTGTTGCTTCGACCGTTCGTCTATGACTTTTTTGTTTAGTTACCATCACATAAAAGCTGGATAATGATTTTAGTTCTATATGAGGGGTGGAGCAGGCTAGGAGTGTTGGACAGAGAGCTGTCAATCAAGCTGCTCACCGATAAGTCTGATTAGTTTTAAGCCATGTCTTATCATATTAATATCTTATATTTTTTGTTCAAGCTTTGCTGGATGTTTAATAGAACACTGAGGTTTACCTGTTTAAATATTTTACATGTTAATGTTTATATGTTTTACTCTGAGACTCTAACGGCTCAGACTGTGACTGTTTGTTCTGCTACAGTATTACTGTCTAACCGTAGTCTTCATCAGGGTGCCTGGAGACCTTCTCTGAACATCTCCACTGTGCTGAGCTCCATCCAGCTCCTCATGGCTGAACCCAACCCAGACGACCCGCTGATGGCTGATATTGTGAGTCTTTTCATTCTTTTCATTAGAATCCCACGGTTCCTCATGTCTCTGATGCCATTCAGTCTTCATCTGGTTATTATTTTTCTCTTTCCCTTTTATTTCTTTCAGTCGTCTGAGTTTAAATACAACAAAGCAGTTTATTTGGAAAAGGCTCGAAAATGGACATCAAAGTACGCAACACAGAAGAACAAGGTAAGGATTTTGTTATGCTTATGTTTTTTCAGCTAACAGTAAAGCAGCGTATTTTGATGTTTCTGGGTTGAACTGGAACTGTTCTGTATTTACAGTTACATATTTAGCTGGTGCTCTTATTTACATGGATCTTATTTGCAAAATTTTGAACAAATTCCATGTTGTTGATTTTCTATATGTGAGAATTAGTTGACCAATTCTCTACAGAGAACACACTTAATTTAGCAAAAATTGACACATTTTACTGCATTTTACTTCTATTTTAACATATTTGGAAAAAAATATTATGATGCTATAATATATATATGCTATTCATTTATTAGGTACAAAGCAAAGTGGAAATCTGCTCTGTTTCAGTCCTCTCCGCTTTATCTGCACTTTATTCTTACTATTACACAGTGACCTGACCTGAAGAAAACACTAAAAATCTGTGATTTTAATCCTGCTGTGAGCATAACTTTACTTTTTTAACAGCCTTGTATATCTTTCTACTGTTTACTTCTACTCCAAAGTTAATATTCTATGATGATAGTATGAGTTACTACAGAGTTGTTTTTTTAACAAGCTGATATTTTACTCAAAAAATTTAAGGATTCGGAAAAGAAATGTAACTAAAAAGCAAGTATTACTCATGAATATCATTACTACTTATAAACATGAACTTTCTGACTGCTTTAGAATTGAATTTACTACAGTTTAAAATAAATCCGTTAGTAGACTTAATATGAGAAGAGTTTGCTGGACTTTTTAAAATGAAATTAACAATTAGTTAACTTTTAATAAAAAGTAAACTGGAGTAAACTTTATAGAAAATTCTTGTAGTTCATATGAGGAATGTTGAAAAAAGCCTCCTTCAAATTTAAGTTGCAGTAAAGGTTCAAATGTTGAAGAATATTTATGACAAAAAGGCTCCCTATGACACGGTAAACACTAATTTTGTGCTTTTAAAACAGATATGTAGGGCTGGCAGGATGACAAATATCATTATTGGGATAAATCACAGTACAGTCTGCTTTTCTGAACATTTCGTGTATATCGTCAGTGCTTGTAGACACTGACCAACTGCATGTTTCATTATAAAGACAGCAAAATTAGTCCTGTTTAACTGGATTTAGTGCCAAATTCTAAATAAAAATCAGTGTTCACAGTTTTTGATACTATTTTAAAATGTAGCACTACTGACTTCCCCCAGCTATAGTTTCATATTTATCAGGTCAGTTTATTTGTATGTTCTTATATTTGCTCAGCAGGGGGCACCATTGCCATTTTCACAGCCTTTACTGTTTATACGTTCCTCTTGGTTTTGAAGGGCAATGTGGAGGCAGAGCAGAAGATTCCTGAAGATGGAGGCAGTAAAACTTCACGGAAGAGAGAAGCACTTTCTGCTCAGGAGAATCTGGAGCAGCCAAAGAAAGTTTGTCTGTAGTTTGATTTATAAATGTCTGGTTTGATTGCTGTAGATTGTCATCTGTTGTTCATGTACATATGTCATTTGTTTTAAGCTGAAAATGTTAATAAAATTCCAGAGTTAAAAAGGATTACTCTGTGCTCAAAAGACGTTCAGCAGTCAGCAGGACGTGTATGAAACTAATAATTTTATTAAATCATTCTTTATCACATGTATACAGAAATATGAAAATATATACATCCAAAATATGTCTGGTTTGCAAATTAAGGGCTTCAGATTTCAATATAAAAATTATATTTTTCATATAAATTTTATATAAAAAAGAGCAGAAACAAACTGCACTCTGGGTAAAAAAGAAAAAGAAATTAGCATGCTAGTTTCAGAGGTAGTTATAGTTTATACATAATAGCTAGCTACTTTACAATTCTGAAAAGGAGATCCCCAAGCTGTATCACAACCTAAGCAAAGCCCACTCCATGGCTTATTCTTTTACAACATTTACACATGAAAAATGTCAAAAATGATTTCTAATCATGAGGATTTTATGAATCTGCCTATAAAACTGTTGCACCTTAAGCTTTGATAGACTGATTTTAAGTTAGATCACTGCTGAATGTGAATGTTTATTTTCCTGTAGAATATCTTAAGTTGTCTACAAAAACAAAGCAAGTTGAGACCTGCAAATCTTTAATGAGCTATAATTATGAGCCAGAAATACATACAGTCTTGGAAATGAATGGTATATGATTTGGAGTGAGCGTTTGACACGGTTGATATCACTTTATGGATGAGTGTTATTCAAAACACCTATAATGAGCAGGTGTGCCAGAGAAAACATTTTCACATTTAGACACATTTCTTCCCTGCACACTGCCGAACACCCTGTTTTAGTTTCTCACTGTTTTTTACGTGACTTTGCACTGCCAGTTGATTGTACACAATTATGAGTGATTGATATATAAATTAACCTGTGACTCGGTATATCATGTCACAGTATTATATTAGGCAACTTTCTTTGTATCCATGCTACGAGTCGCTGGTGGTGTTAGGAATAGTTCTCTTCTACAAAAGTCGTCCTCTTAGGAGAATCGTCCGTTATCTGATGGTTAGGTACCGTGTCCCGTGAGAACTTGTCTGTCTTTCTCAGAATCAGAAGGTTCCTGAGAGCTGAAGATCTTGCAGCAAAACTTACGAATGGCATGAGGAGTGGAAGACCCCAGCAAAGAAAGTGGTGTTTCCTTTCTGAACGTCCATCCTTTTGCTCTTTGTGTCCTCCTCCTCCTTGTTAGCCCCTAACCCTGATGTTGTCAAGCCGACCATGTTCTCTTTTATGTTTTCTCTGGGAGCAGTCGTCTGCAGTTGGCATGGGATGAGTGGCACAGAGGGCTGACTGCCCAAATCCGAACCCTCAAACATCACGTCCACTTCTGAAGCGAAGGATACCAGGGCCTGTGTTGAATCGTATGAACTCTTCTCTGTGTCCACTGAACCGAAGGAGTCAAGGGTTTGGTCTTGGTCCAGTCGAGTTCTGTTCAGGAGGAGTCTTGCGTCCTCACGGAAGTGAGGGTTGAACAGGAGGTATAGCAAGGGGTTAATGCAAGCAGGAAGGGGAAGCAGTACCAAAAGGACCGACTTGACCACTTCCTCACTCACTGGGAAGAGTCCCATAAGGGAAGAGAAGGTTAGGAAGGCCACCGGGCAGTACAGGATACAGTTGGTGAAAATCAGCCAGGCTATGTGCTTGATCATGGCGCAATCCCAGACACTGTCGAAGTTCCCCTTCATCAGGTCCCAGTAGAGCTTGATGTAGGTGGTGGTGATCAGCAAGAAGCACAGAGAATTCATCATGATTACCGCCACCATGAAGCCCAGGGTGGACGGCTGGGCCTCAGGCAGAGGTGAAGGCAGGCAGAGTGGTGTTGTTCCATATTCACCAACCCCAACCATTGGGAGGCTGGCAGCTGCTAGGGAAAGAACCAAACACACAAATGCGGCCACCCTCACACTACCATGAGACGGAGACTTTCCGTAAGCTCGGACACAAGATACAGAAATGCTGCACTGCACTGCTGCTAGCGTGAGGAGGAGGATGGAGGCCTCTGAGGCCAGGACAGAGATGAAACCTGTCGCTTGGCACCCAGCACCTGTTTCCCAACGAGCCCCGTACACAGCAAACTCCCCAAATGTCAGAGCATCCACCACCATCAGGGTGCCCGAGCAGATGCCCATGAGCAGGTTGGCACCGCTAATGGCGCCAACTATGAACTTGACCGGTGAGAGATAACTTGGGGAGGTGAAAACGGTCAGGATGAGGAGAATGTTGCCCAGCAGAGAGACCAGAGAAATGAGCCACATGCCCAGACGTACCACCCAGCTATCAAAGAGGTTATCACAGGGCTTGAAGGGACCTGCAGGAGTGGAACAGCAGCATACATTCAGATTACCGATGTTCACAACGGTCAAAATGCATGAAGTTGTCTTTAAAATTTTGCCTTCAAGTTTCGCTTGCTGTATATGCATAGAAGATCAAATTAAATCATTTCATATTTGGAATAGACCAAGATAATAATTGAATAGTCTAGTTAAAAAGAATGTTGGTCAAATGTAACTTAAATTCAAAATTCACCTTCTGTCTGATTAAATAATTTCTAGAATCTAAAAAGGAATCAGCATGGCTTTGGTTTAGTGTTAAAGTAACAGTGATGACTCTCTCATGAAAACATGTCCAGTCATGGAAATATTTTTATTTTGAGTACCTGGGATGGGGGTGCACTGGATGCTAGTTTGGAGTTTGGACTCTTCAATGGCCAACTGGAATTCCTCCAGATCAGGGTCATCTGCAAATAAAAACACCACAAGACGTAGAAGGCCTTACTGCACTTCAGCTACCACCACACTTAACTTTTTAAGCATGAAACGATGATGAGATTGTCTGTGAACTGATGTGTTTCATCTAGAAGAAAACATAAATAAGAATCTGACATTATCACTTCAACATGAAAACAGATTTTGTAATCTTTCCAGAGGCTTCGGCTCCAGGGAATATCCAGTAAATCTCACATGCAATTCTCAAACTCACTTTACCTTCTCGTTCGGAGAACAGTTAACCCTAATCGTACTTTGTTTTCTTTGCTTTCAAAGGGCTAAATGGAGCTTTTAGATCTTAACTCGTCAATCTCACTCTCATTCCCTGTAAAGCATAATTACTGAGCTCCTTTCAAGTCAGAAACCTGATCAGATTGCTTACAGTGGAATGCATGAAGAGAAGACATGCTTTTATTTCATCTCTTGAGTACCTGCGGTTACTGTACAGCCCCGACATGTTTTTACTGTTCTAATTAAAGATGAACAGACAGGTAGAGGAGACAAAAATAGACAAAGACGCTCAACCTGTTCCCAGAATTACAGTGTTAGAAAACGCTACAAGAAAGGCTTTCTTTGAGTTCTTTCACATAAAGAATGAACACGGTTTCAAGGAATGTCAGCTTGATTGTGGACTTGCTGGTGTTTTGTACGATTTTAGATCACATTTGCATCACAAGAATTAGAAACTATCAGGAGACAATTGTTGTAAAATACAGCTGCATCTAATTACAAACCTGCAATTAGCAAGTAATCATTTTTAGAGGTGTAATTAGAGATGTAAAGAATTAAAGGTGTAATTAGGTGTAAATAGAGGCTTTCTGCCAAATTGTCTTTTAATAGTTTAATAACAGTGGATGTATTTTAACACGCATCCAGAGGTGCAGTCTGATAGAGGGAACTTATTTTGGAAATACTATTTTTGGAAAAATCATATTTTGGTGATTTTGCTCCCAAAATATATGGAATACATATCAATAATGGAAGAAAGCATGAAACCAATGAAACAGGTGCAGTAACGCCTTTAGAGGGCGGCGATGAGTTTTTTAATAAAGTGGTGGAGACATTTGTGTATTTGATGTTCATTAATGACGCCTTTAGAGGGTGGTGATGAGTGACACTTGTTTACAACAAAAAAAGTTGGGATGCTGCAAAATGTAAATAAAAACAATGCAATGAGGTGTAAATAATGTAAACCTTATATTTAATTTAAAATAGTACAAAGACAACATATCAAATGTTCAAAGTGAGAAATTGTACTGGTTTTTGAAAAATATTTGCCCATTTTGAATTTGATGTCGACAACAGGTTTTTAAAAAGCTGGGACAGGGTCATGTTTACCGCTGTGCTGCATCGCCTCTTCTTTTAACAAAACTAGCATTTGGGAACTGATGAGACCAACTGCTGTAGTTTTACAAGGAAATGTTTCCTATTCTTGCTTGATACAGGATTTCAGTTGCTCAGCAGGGTCTCCTTTGTCATATTTTTCATTTCATAATGTACCCAATGTTTTCAGTGGTGACAGATCTGGACTGCAGGCAGGTCAGCTTAACACCTGGATTCTTTTACTACAGAGCCATGCTGCTGTAATACGCGCAGAATGCGGTTTGACATTGTCTTGCTGAAAGAAACAAAATCTGTATATATCATTCAAAATTAATGGTGCCTTCACAGTCAGCCTTCACTTCATACACAAGTCACCCATGCCATGTGCACTAATGCCCCCCCATACCATCTTGGATGCTGGCTTTTGAACAGTGGGCTGATAACAAGCTGGATGGTCCATGATTTCCAAAAAAAATTTCAAATGTTGATTTGTCGTAGCACAGGACACTTTTCCACTTCACCTCAGTCCGTCTTAAATGAGTTCGCCCAGAGAAGGCGGCGGCATTTCTGAATACTGGTTATATATATAGTTTCTTCGGTGCATGAATTTTAACTTGTATTTGTGGATTCAGCGATGAACTGTGTTCACAGACAGTGGTTTTCAGAAGTGTTCCTGAGCCCATGCAGTGATTGTGTGTTTTTATGCAGTGCTGCCTGAGGACCCAAAGATCACAGCCAGCCAATATTGGTTTTCAGCCTTATCTTTTGCCTACAGAGATTCCTCTGAATTCTCTGAATCTTTTAAAGATATTATGTACTGTAGATGATGAAAGTTCTTTTTTTATTTTACGTTGAGAAATGTTATTCTTGGATTGTTGACTATTTGCCTGTGTAGTCTTTCACAGAGTGGTCAATCCCTCCACATCTTTACTTCTGAAAGAG